TTATTATGTTTTAATTTATATTACTATTATACAATACACTGATTTGACATCGCAGGCAAGAGTTGTCTGCCTATACCACTGTAGGCTACACGTTGCTCTCGTGACGTTCGTATGTGCTACAGCCAATCCTCGTTCTCTTATCAACACCTTCTTGGCTATCAGTCCCTTTACCATCTTCTCGTTTACGTTTCTCGCGTCTTTCTTCACTGACCCCATCTCGCTTTGGCCAAAAGCGATGTTGCAGGACATGTTTGTCCGCTATCTCAGCCTCAGTTATCTCCCTTTCCTCCCTCTGCTTTTCAGTCAATCCCAGAGGCAAACACTCAATGTCCAAGGGTTCAGTGTCGAGCCTGAAGAATACCCGTTGGACGAACTTGGTGCGTGTGCGTCGACGAGACAGGTTCTGACGTAGGACTGACGACGAACTGCTACTAACGAATGGGAAGTAGCCTCCTAGAAGATTGTGGTCCTGTTTATCCTCGACTTCGAGCATTTGCCATCGTTCGTTATCCAAAAGATTGGTCAGTTCGCTTCTGCCCCAGTCTTCGTAGATGTCATTGGGGACATTTGCTGTCAACTTCTTGAGGTTCTTGAACTGGGAAGCATAGCGGGCCCAGAAGCGTCTCCAGCCAATCATTTCGCGTTGCATGAGAGCCACCTCGGCAGGGGTAGGGCGTTTCGCTGCGCGAAGCCAGCCGGAGACGCCAGGCACGTCGGCAGGGTACTGTATAGTGAGTTCGTCAACCATGGAGGCAATGGGCGTAAGACTGAAGACGGCTTGGGTCGGGAGCAACACTTCGCGCTTGTTCTCATTGTCACCAACGAAGGTCTTGTAGTCACCAAAGTATAGGCTACCATCGAGGCCAGACGAAGGACACATGTTTGTGCGGTCGCCAATGGAAACACGGATAGGGATGTTGAGGCTTCGCAAGGTTGATACCATGGTCTTTATGCGTGAAAGCACATCTTGTTTGGGTAGAAATGTTCGGTTGGGCTCTAGATTTGCAGGGAAGACGTCGCACATCATGCTTTCCCAAGCCAATATCGGCTTCCAGGCGCACTTCTCGGCTAGCCATCGCAGCGCTTCCTGCACCTCAGGCTTAGAACTAGGGTCACTAAGTGCCTGGTCATTGTTTTGCTGTGTGGTCTGTCCAAAGTGATGTCGCCGTTGCATGACATTGACAAGGTGGAACGGGTGGAGTATGATGTTCTGAAGGTTCCGAATGGGTTTTATGTTGATGTTTGGATACTTCTTGGAAATGGTCTGGAGGCTTTGGAGCAAGTCCTCGAACGATGCTCCAACACCCTGGACGACATGGTTTCCGAGCATCATATGGTCGCGCCCGCATGCATCGAACGTCTTGTCGTCAAAAGCCTCCTCTTCATCGCGATGATGATGTCCTTGGGTTATCCTGTAGGGAATTGGGCCGATCACGTCACGGTCACGACGGTCTTCCATCCAAGAGTATAGACCTATTTCAACATCTTTGATACGCGACCAAGCTGTTGCATCGGTGGAGAAGAGTGAGCGGTAAGGGGCGTAGTCATGTACCCTCAGCTTCGTCATGGTGTCCGGGCAGTACTTTTGCACGCCATCGACAAGACAGCAGACGCGCTGATGAACCTCCCACTCGTTCCAGGTGCTGGACTTGAGTTAGTACTTAGTTCGGCGATATGACCACCAGATTTATCTTACTGGAACCCCGAGTACCGCTCTCGTATTGCCAACGTCTTCAGTTTTTTACATATTGGGAAAATGGCGTTTGCAACAGAGCCTCCATCGCGTCGTCTTGATATCCTAAAGCTCTGCTTGAAGCGATAGTCCTGATATGAATAGCTGTACTCGATTCGAGAGTGCGCAGTATAGTCAGCCCAGTTAGCCACCTCGAGCTCTTCCAGACGTCCAAATAGTTCATGGCAAGCATCGGCCATCATTTTCCAAGTCCAAGTCTCCTCCGGTGTCCATACAAAGTCCTTGATGGCGGAGATGTCCAAGCTAGTCAAGCAAGGTAGATTCTCTTCTATCCACTTGAAGTCCTCTATGCTCGCCCAGTGAGACATGGCTAGCTTGTGCACGTGTCGGCGGTTCCCATCATTGATGCTCTCCTTGAAGCTTGTCCACCGTATGCTGCCCAAGCTCCGGTATTTCCAGTCGCCCAGCCTGATGTCGCGCACATCGTTGAGTTGTATGGGGTACTTGTACAGCAGCTGGTTCACCGTCACGCTGCTTGCCATGCCTTTACAAAGCCGCTTCAGACTCCACGCAGCATCGCGGTCGAGATAGTCCATGACACACTTGAAGATGTCGTCGGGCAGTTTAAGAAGCATGCTGTTCTGGGCCACGGCGACTGTGGGCTTGGGGGGGATGGGAGCGTCGAAAGCGATGGGGCTGCATTCGCGACTGGAGGCAAAGTCGGGCATGTCGGGCGAGAGGTAGTCCAAGTCGTGCAGGCTGAATAGATTCATCAAGTAGCGATCGTAGCTCATGGGGGACGACAAGGCGGAGGTGTTGGACGAGTGGGCGGCGGAGCGGCAGGCTGGAGCGCAGCAAGTATACCAGGACGGGCGCCTAGGCAACTGTGGGCGAGGATGGAAGTAGCGATGGGGCGCATGTATCTGGAGAGGAAGCGTGCACAGTAGTGATCGGAGCACTAGAGGATAATCGCGGAGAAGGTGCGACCGCGTGGCTGGACTCCTAGCGGCGATGCGATGCGATGCGGAGCGGGCCCGGAGGTAACGATGCCGCCAAGACAGGCCCGCGCGCGCTCTGACCGTTTCTGGCTGCAGGCTTTCTTTCGTGCTCTGTCGCAACACCTTTCGCCCGCCCCAAACCTCTCCGCAAAAGCCTCTTGCTCGGTCCGCAGCCGTGTGCGCCCTCTCACCATGGCCGACGCTCAGGTCTTCGAAGAGACCTTCACCATCACTTCGGTCAACAACGAGAAATACGATCGCGTGTCCCGTCTCCATGGCACTTCGACCGACAGCCAGATCACCATGTCACTCGACATCAACCACGAGCTATTCCCCGTCGAGGTCGGCCAGACAATAAGCCTCGTCCTGGCAACGACCTTGGCCCTCGACGGCAGCGCAAAGGGCGACAACGATTCCATGTGGAGGAGTGTTGGCAAGCAGGGTGTGACAACCCTCGCTGACATGTACGACTACGTCTGCTACGGCAAGAACTACCGCATGGAGGGTGGTGACGGTGATGTCATGTGAGTGTCCTTCGCACTGGGCGAGTCGGCCGAGTCGGGGCTAATAGTCTACACAGCAAGTACTTTGCCAGTTTCGGCGGCCTGCTGCTATACATGGAGGGCCCGCACAGGAAGCTCAGCGGCCTTAAGATCGACGACATCTACATGCTCATCAAGCACTCGTAATGCATAGCACCTTCGTCCTCTCCAGAGCATAACAAAAGTAAGCATACAACAGGCGTCATGGCAGCATGTGTAGTGGTTTTGGTATCATCTGGCTTAAAATTTCGGTATGGCGTCTGGATACCCCCAATCGACTCGTTGGCCCCACTCGCACCCCTTGCGAGACAATACCACCTTGTCTACGTCCTTACAGCGTAGGAAACTCGAGCTTTCTGTGCAGCCGACTCACAATTTCAATGTAGTCTCTTTCGTTCTCCGTAGTGAGAATGCCGTGGCGAACTAGGAAGTCTAGCACGACCAGCGCGCAGTTGGGCTTGAACTCGCCCCTCCTCATAGCTTCTTGCACTTCCTCCACACCCCACAGGTAGAACTCCTCAACTTCGTCGTCGCCAGGCTTTGGTATCGTGTCTTCGGGAAGTTCGAGATCATAAACGTATTGAACCTCTGGCTGCATCAAGTTCGTCTCCCCTCCTGCTCTCTCGTCTCGAATGTACCAGTATGTGACTGTGCCACTCGCTTTTGCCTTTGACCGAACCAACTCTTCCCCAAGCGAGGCTTCTTCTCCACACTCCCTCACAAGACTTTCAAATGGCGACTCACCCGATGCAATGCCGCCCGCTACCGCATTGTCTAGCATACCACCGTATGTCTGCTTGGTACGCGCCCGTCTCGGTGTCCAAATTTTCAATTCCCCCTCCTTTCTTGTGAACGCTGTGAGATGCACCCCATACGTGACTACGCCAAATAGGCAACTGGCGCTCCTCTCCACGTTGAATAGTAGTTCTTTGCCAATACCATACACGGCGTACAGTTCTCCTCGCCACTTGTCCAGTACCTTGAAGTGACCCGTCTGTCGCATAGCCAGCAGCGTCGTTTCTACCGCTTGCGATCGCTCATCCGCAGTAGAACCGCCGACGAGGTAGAGGATGCGAGCGTCATCGTCAATTTCCCAGCTGGGTACCCCACGGAACACCTCGACAACAGACGGGAGCATGTAACCCAATGCATAATTGTAGCCTGAGACGCGCAGCTGGTAGTAAGTGTTTATCGATGCCAGATATGTCTCCGAGTTCACATCGGGATACGGGAAACCATCGCATTGGTTTACGAGGTCGAGGTTTGTGAGAGACATCGTGGGTGGAGTATGTGATGTATGTTGGGTTCTCGTGTGACGGAGGGTGGGTGTTCCGCGAGCTGCGTCATCTGCTTACTTGCCTCCGAACAGGTGGGGGCGGCGTGCTGAATCGGCAACGACTATCTCGAGGCTCCTTCCTTATTCCTGGCAACGTCCCTCGCTATTCATAAACTGTATATTGAGTAAGATGATCGGACGGATTCAATAGTCCCATTCTTAGAACTCCATCTGAGCTATCGAGATGCGTGCCACCCTTGTGTGCGGTTGCCTGAAGCTAGCAATGTTCCAATAAATTTTGTACAATGCTCCGTTTACACTTTACCACCCTCCAGCTGCTTGTGTTAATCTTTGCCAGTTCACGTTAAAGTAGCAAACAACATGGAACAGTTGTCAAGCTCGAAAATTACTCTTATTGTACCAAAACAACATGTCAAGACTGTGAAACAGGCGCTCGAACGGGCTGGTCAGCTTGACCGGAGTAGCAAAATCACTCCCGAGTCACCGAACAAGAAAGAACACACATCCCCCAGGAATGTTGTTGTATCTAGAAACGGTGATGATCGCGCTGAGCCTGACCGGTCCTTAGCAGCCACTCCTGCAGATACACCCGTAGCCATACAGGGACCATCAAGCTCCTCACAGCAGACACAATTCCCAGAGCTATGTTCCGATGCGATCGGTGGCCGTTACATCTACCCGGAATCTTTCCAAGACGATTTTCAACTCGAAGACCAGATAAGAACCTATCAGAGTTCGAGCCACACGACCACAACCCTTTGTGATTCGAGTGACCGAGTATCTGGAAGCAAGGAACAGCAACGCATGTGTATTCCTACATCCATCCTTTATCCCCAACACTCGGATGGATTAGAAAGAATCTTGAATGCGCAAGAGACCAGCGACCTGAAGCTCAGAGTGTTGCAAGATCTTGGCCTCAGCGCATTATCTCAGGACGTTTCAATCTCACACGATGCCCCTGTCACGACCTTGGCCCCAAGACGAACAAATCGGAATCCAGTTCACAAAGCTCTGGAGGAGTCTCTTACTTCCTTCCTTGGATTGTTGCCTTCATCGCAAGCACTTACCGTTGAAGCGCTCGTCTCCAATTTTCCAGAAGGATATTCTGTCTACAGTCCAATGCTTCTCCTTCCACACAATGCCTTTTCCTCCGCCCCGTGGAAAAGCCTCATTGCCACGCATTCAGTGAACTCAGACGCGATGATATCATTATGGCAGAGTATGGCAAAAGCAGTAGGCGCAACACATGTCGCCATAAACTCTCCCATACCACTTTCAACCAGGACCACGGTAGCATCGTCAGCCGAAATGACCAATTCAGAAAACATACTTCGTAGCCCAGTCAATTTAACACCCCTATACGGAGACTTTGGAAGTACGCCAACGCCACAAACAATATCTAACCCCACCGCAACCGACTTTGCCAACGCTTTATGGGTGACTGCACGCCAGAACGGGATTTGGCAAACCTGGGCTCCGCTCTATACAATGTTCAGCCGTGGCAACGTTCGTGAGAAGGCGCGAATCTTGAATCTGCCTACTCTCACTACTGGTCTTGACACTGCATCCGCGGCTGTCGACCTCTATGCTGGAATCGGCTACTTTGCTTTCTCATACAGGAAGAGTAGTCAAGCATTGGAGAAAGGCATCAAGCAAGTCTTGTGCTGGGAGATCAATCCCTGGAGCGTAGAAGGGCTACGAAGAGGTGCAGAGATGAATAAATGGACATGTCGAGTGCTTAAACAAGAAGACATTCTGCGGCTACGACAAAGGGGCCAACCTGACCACTCTGATCTCGACGATGCAGACTTTGTGGTCCTCGAGACAAGCAACGAGGCCGCTGACCTGGACTACCCGTCACTTCGGTCGCCAAGATTACCGGTTCGGCATGTCAATCTCGGCTTGCTGCCTTCTTCCAAGCTCTCGTGGCGTGTTGCGGTCGCTATGCTCGATACAAAACGACAAGGATGGATTCATGTGCACGAAAACGTTAATGTCAAAGACGTTGAAAGCATGAAAAATGAAGTAGAAAAGACATTCCAGGATTTACTATACACCATCGACGGCGGACTTGAGAGACGGGTCTGTGTGGTTCATGTGGAGAGGGTGAAAATGTACGCCCCGGGTGTTGTGCATTGTGTGTTTGACGTATGCGTGGGGTGACATGCAAGGTTAAGACAATCATTTGCATTGCTGTTCCAATAGAACAACATACTTGTCCACCACATTTCGTCTTGTGTGAAGCTTTGTCCTGTTCATGTTTGTAGCCATGCTACTACAAAAGGATCATATGTCAAGCAATTCAATATACCAACTGTTATCGACACTACCTTCTTTTTTCCTGAGGAAGTCATCACACCAAAAAGCTGGAGGAATTCCAAGATTCAAGATCGTTCTATTATTGGTATCATCCTTTCCAGATATTCCTAACCCTCGCTCCAACTTGTTACTACTGTTCCGATAATGCTGTCTCGCTAGCTTATACCACAGCCAAAGGCCACCAAGATCGTCGACACGAAGGTCGTACTTCGCTTTAAAAATGCTTCAACGCCCGCTCAAACGCAGCAAAGCCCACATAATACACCCTTGGAACATATAATACATAGATAATGAAAGTTCAAGTCATGAAGAAAAGAACAGTGTGAAACGTCCCCTACTGAGTTCACTCGACCTCTGTTAGCCATCTACGAATACCCTCTTTCAAAGAAGAATCATTCTCAGTCTTCGGGTGTGCATCCCTCGTCGTCTTCCTCAAATCACCTTCTTTAGAGGATTGTCTACCCCCTCGCTCAGCGGCCACTTCTTTCACAACGATCTCTAGTGCTTCGAAAAGCACACTCTTACAATCCACGTGCGGCACTTCGACATGTGGTATTGTATCCGATTCCGTCCTAGTATCGCGACGGCCCCTTCGGCTGCTTGATCGAGAGGACTGGGCAGAATTTACACGGGTCACCTCACCAGACTGCGCGAGTACGCGATCCACGCCGTCGATGAGCGTGGAGTCAAAATCCATGATGGTTTCGGTGACGAACTTTTCAGCAAGATGTACTTCAGTCATCATTGGAGCAGCGGCACCGGAGGTGTACGGATTACCATATCGCGAGTGGGCAGGAGCCATTCCAGTGACACCCGGTGTCATAGCCGAAGATTGGTACGTAGGCGTGGGAATGAGCTTCACGAGACGCCGCAAGCTGATGCGTTTGATCGAGAAATTGCTTGTGTCGGCAATAAGAGCAGAACAGATATCCATCCAACGCTCAAGCGGGCCCGACTCTAGGCTCGGTGTAGTCACGGTATTTAGAGGTGTGGGCTCAGCGCTCATCGCTCGCTTGATGTCGCGTTCAAGCTCGCGATAAGGCTTTATAGCTTGGACGGCGAAATCAGGGTGGAACTGGCTCAGCCAACCCGCCACGTTGACGGGCTGTTCTGGCTCACAGTGAGGCGTCGATAAGACTGAGGACTCGCCAAAGCTGGAGCCTGGCTGGCTTGAAGCTGACCCAAACCCCCCTAGCAGTGGAGACTGAAGAGGAGAGTCAAAGTCAGGCAGTGGAAGGTCAACGTCGATAACGCCATCCTTTTCGTTGACAGACAGTTTTAAGTGACTCTCGTAAGTCTTCTGACGCTCTGGGATTGGCCTTGCAGCAGACGCAGGAACGCCAGGACAGCCAGCATTGGAGTATATGTCCGGAGAGGTTTTTTCGCCTGAATCTTGTGGAAGCGGAGAATCGGCAGCATCGCCCTCGAAGACGCGGTCCATGGAGAGCTCTTGAACCATGTGCTCCAGCTGCGACCGAGGGCGCTCTTGCCCACGGTATCCCACACCGTCATCTGTGGTCTGAAAGTATTCACTTTGGTCGGTTGAAGACGAACGACGTCCGCTCCAAAAGTTCATAAAGCCACTCCAGCGACTTGTATTGCTGGAATCATTACTAGCAAGACTGGTTTGACCGGTACCGCTCCTCTGCAGGGTGCTGATCAGGTTCGTTGAGGCCAGGCTATCACTACTTTCAGGTCTCATATCGGGCATGGTACCAGATGACTTTGTCCTGGGAAATGTGAAGTGAGCGACAGGCATCGCATCTTGTGGGTTGGCTGTTGAGGTAGTAGCAGTGCTACCCGGCGCGACCGGGCCTTCTGACATTGATGGAACCACTAGAGTGGTGCGAACTGAATGTGCAGAAGAACGCCGAGAGTGTCCAAGCGGACGCATAGGCTCTTGAGTCTCGATCAAGACCGATTCAGACCGCTCATCTGAAATCTGCGCAGGTGGCTGATGAACGCTCTGGAGCTTGGGTGGCTGCAAAAGGATATTGGACATACTTTGCTTGGCCCGCGGTCCTCGTTTGATCTGTCGCCGTAGGGAGGGCTGCCTTGAAGGCGGCATATTGGTCGGAGGTGACTGCGAATAGGCACGGAGGGATGCTGAAGTGCCGGGACGCGGGTAGGTACTTTCACCCATGGCAGATGCGTTGGGTGGTAAGAAGGCGGCGAGTAGAAAGATGAGTCTCCGTGCAGCCATCTTGTCTGGAGAGACGATGACGGTGCGGTTAGGGATTGTTAGAATCTCACCGGCAGTTGCCTTTTGCTGCTCGCGATGACGCTTACGGTACCACTTGGGTCCCAAAACGTTGAGCCACTCGGTGTGATTTCCGAGGAAAGCAGTAAGGAGGTTGAAGAAGAAAAAGTTCTGTTCACGTCGACCTGCCCAGCGACCAAGCCATCTGGCCTCTTCGCGCCAGACACCCCACTTGCCCTGACCTGTCATGACACGAGGGATCCTCATGCCGCTCACCACGCGATTGCCAGTAAGCTCTGCTGCGGTTTGAATTTCTTTGTCCATCATGAGGGCATTGGGCTGCAATCGCAGGGCCCGCCGGCTGGCGTGGAGAGAAGTGTCGCGGAGACTAGCCCGCGAAGGCTGATTTCGCTGATGGTGAGCTGTAGGCGTAGGCATGCCTTCTGGCGACCGAGGCGCTTTGAACTGGGCCAATATCCTCTCCTGTACCACGTGTTGCAGGCTACTGAGAGCACGCATAATGACGTCCCAGTGTTGCCCTACGACATCGACACGGTCATCGACATCACTACATAGCGACGAGGATAGAAGTGAATCAACGCCGAGATTGGAGTCGATGAAGGCCCATCCTGTGCGTCGTTCTGAGTCCAAAGAAGAACCAAGCGAGTCCTGCCCAGGAGCAGAGGTAGACAGGTGCACCGGCGTTCTGGCATTGGCGCTCCGAGAAGAGGGTCTCACGCTGGGAGATGTGTTTGATATGGGAAGGTGGAGGATGATAGTGATAGCATACATGGGGCTCTTTCGCACGTGCGAGGGGTACGGTACCTTGGGGGCACCTGGTTTCGTGCTTGTCGCGGGGAAGGGGAAGCCATTGCCTTTTGGCAGTGAGCTCTGCGGGGTGGGGGTGCGATCATCGTGCTCCTCTTCCGGCACAGTGACTGAGAACATGCGCGTGATAAAGATGGTACGCCGCCTGGGCTCCTTCGGTACGCCCTCACTGGAGTCGGCGCGGGGTAGGTCGGTTGGAAGGTTGGCGGGTGTGAAGGATTTGGCGAGATGGCTCCTTCTGCGAAGGCCCTCGGCGCGACCAAGAGAGTTGGTAGCGTCCTGAACGCTGGTGCTCAGCAACGACGAGTCGGCCGGCTTTGTGTCGAGCGGCACAATGTGTATCTTGTTGGAGTTGCCGCGGTAGTTCATGGCCAGGTTGCCGAACATGCAGTCGAGGCAGATGTTGGCCAGGTCGGTTGACTCCTTGGCCCTTGCCTGGGCTTTGGCCTGGACCTGGGCGTGCTCGTCGATGTTGGGCATGGAGGATATGGAGCTGCCGCGGGTGCGTATGCGCGTGAAGCCTCCGACCGTGGGCGAGCGCGGTGGCGCGGCGGGCTCTGTGACGAGCGACGATGTGCGGGCGTGCAGTCCCCCAAACGTCGGCGCTGGCGTACTGGCATTGCTGGCATTGGCGGCGCCAAATGCGCGGGTGCGGAGGTTGGGCGATGTGGGAGCGTCGACGCGTGGTGGGGCAGGCTTGGAGTCGAATAGGATGGTCTTGGGCATGGCGGGCGTCTCGTCCTGGGCGATGATGATGCGGCAGTCGCGCGGGTAGTCGAGGTCTATCTCCGGCAGGGGCCCATCATGGCCGCTCCCCGGGGTCAAGGGCGCGGCGTGCAAGGGATACGGCTGGCCCTCGGGGTGGTAGAGCGTGTTGTACTCGGGATACAGCAGATGGCGCGTGTGGCTCTCTTCTGTCGCCGAGTCGAGCACCGTCGGCGGCGGCGCGTGAGACGCGCTGCTGCCCTTGCGGCTGCTAAACAGGTGTCCGATCATGTCTGGCAGTGGGCGCATGCCTCCATGGAAGCGCGCCCGTCGTCTTAGCAGTGGGCGAGAGAGGCGTCGTGGGTTGGGCGGGCTCGAGCAGTGCGAGGTGCTGGTTGACCCATGGCAGTCGGAGGGCGCCTGTTGTTTTTGTTGTTGTTGCTGTTGCTGCTGCGGCTGGCGGGCTTTGCGTGGGGCAGCAGAGGGACCGTCTCTTTCTTGCGGGCGGGTGAGGGCGGGCGACGTGGACGGATGGGGGTGAAGGTGATGGCGTCACAAGGTGCCTTTGTGCACGGTACAGGAGGCAGCAGTCGCCAGACAGGCCTCAGCAGCGGGGTGCTTGGACAGCAGAGAGAGGAAGCGTGTCGCGTGGGTTAGTGAGGGGAGCGCGCTGTAACGTAGTGGATTCGCTGCTAGTGTTTGGGTTTAGTCGACGCCGGTTGCTGCTTAGTTATAGAAGGGCGGTGAGACGACTCCCGACTATCGTGAACAAGATCGACCCACGGCGCACATCACCCCTCCACCACGTCTCCACCCAAGAATTCTCATCGTCACACGTCCGACAAGTGGGACCAAGATTCGCTTTCACGACATGGCCATAGGCTTTCGCGTCGACAGCGCGCCATTGTCCTTTGTCCATCGTCGTGCCATACGTCCCGCCGTCAGTCATCAACGACTACGGCTGCACATCTCCCGGGGTACCCCAGACCATGATATGCATGTCGTTCCAAACCGTCCTGGTGCAATCCTCCGCCTCTCGTTGACAGGCTGACGCGCGCCAACCCGCACTTTCGATATCAACAACTTGCTCTGCGTCGGACCACTTCCGCGGGTGCCTATCAGCCCAGACGGAAGCCACTTGCCTCGCTCTTCCATTGGAACAAGCACACTGCCCAGCAAACAATAAATCACTATCGGTACTGCCATGGGCTGCATCAGTCAACGGATACTTATCGACATCGTGTAACCATGTCAGTTCATGTCCTAGTGAGTCGAGAAAGGCTCAGCCAGTAAACCGCATCTTGATTGTACTTTCTATAGCCTGTCTATACAACTTATGATAATACCAACTCAGCACAATAAGCGGTGTGGTGGCATCCAAGACTCACTCGACACTCCGCTGGGCGCCTCTGTTTGCGCGTTAAACGCTCGGTATGACTTCGTTGGAACAAGATGCATCTGTCTATCCTAGATCGCCTCACTATGCATCACCCCGTACCAAAGGCGGACTGCACGATCGTCACCCGATACCGGCGACGAGTTCCAGCAATACAAGGACACTCGGAGTCTCGCCTCAGCTTTACCCCATAAACACCAGTACGTGTCGATCTCTTCCTCTCTGGACACATGGCGCATGGTGCAGTATATATCATTACATGGCCGTTCTACCCCGATTGTTTCGTAATCTTCAGACGCAACTTGCATCCGTCAAGATCCACCTGAGCATATTCAATTCGTGGCACTCAGCTGCATGGCTCGTAACCTAGGGATATGTGGCAGGTAGAGATTTTTCGACGATAGGAAGTGTCAGCATCACCGAAACAAGATTTCCTTCTTTTGCATGCCTAGTCCATTATTTTTTGGATCCTACGTTAACCCACAAGCATGACCGAGATTGAGCGATGTATTCTAGGTCGTAGACAGGTTCTGCCTAAAGTCTTTGACATTTCTTCTGCGGATGAATGGCCGTCTCGAAACCAAACTCATAGCGTTCTTCAAACATCCATCACGATATTCACTTTACCTCGGCCAAAAACACCAGGTAAGATTGAACCATCATGAGATCGACATCGGTCACATTACTGCGTATTAAGTCATGGCTATGTTTACTACCATCTTCGCCATGTTCGCCTCTATTCAACACTGCTGCTATATCCAGTTTGTGTACTGTCAAACCAGCACCAGGTAACTATCTCGAAACACAGGTAAAATAAACGAGAACACTCAAGAGGGAGTTATCCACATCAGATGTAACCCTCGTTCTAGTCATAGCATCATAAGTCCGCAGTCTGATCTGCGGAAATTAAACCCAGTCCGTCAACACGACCCGGTATACATTCGTGCTCTCTCAATGATAACTCTGTTGTGTGTGCCTGCCCAACACATGTCTCTCGACGTAGCGATGCCTCCAGTTGCCCACTGTCCTATAATCACTCTCACATCCTCTCACGAAACACCTCTCATGTTTGACGTCCGTTGCATGGTATGCTATATTATCGTACCTCAGACATATGTTGCACTGCTCGCATTCGATTGGGAACTCTTGTTGATGGTACTGTAGCTTGAGACCATCTGGGAACCATTCACGACAGTTGGTGCATTGTTCGCGATCGAGATTTGCCTGGGCTGAGATGGAGTAACTTCCAGAGGATGGGTTCGCTGAGTATTGCACGGATGCGACGGCATGCGTGTTGCTGAATCTATCGAAAACATGGACAAGAGGTTTTGCTAGCTCATTGGGATGAGAGCTGGACCGGTGTGCATTGCTGTGTATTCTGTGACGTACGAGAGCATTGCTGGTATCGTATTGTCCATATATGTCCTGGTTGTTTGAGAAACGATGTGGACGAGTGCCTGTGCCCGTACTGTGACGGGCGCTGCGAGCATTCGTCGAGTCACTACTGTAGTTATAGTCATCGTATCTATTTCTGACGTAGCGGTGTTGCGTGCATCGATTTCCGGGACCTCTGATCCAAGTGCTGCATATCGTGCAGGCTGCCATGTTAAGTCGATTCAAGATGTGATGAGGCTAGGATGAATCGAAAAGTAGTTTGGGAGCGCCGAACTATCATGTTATACATCATGTCGAGCCGCAACGAAACGTGTCAGGCTGCACAGTTGCTGGTCCTGATGGCTTGCATTGTTCACCGGATGGCAGCGATCCAATCGTGGACTACACGAGTTTGAAGAGCCAATGGAAGAAATAACAAGATAAAACTACTATGAGAGAGTCGAGACGAGGCTCTAACGGTGCATTCACCGGTCTGCCGGGCAGTGGAAATCAGACAGTGTGGCTGCTGATTCTTTGAGTCCAGCCTTGTGGGAAACGGCCATGTGTGACTGGCATATATATACTCAGAGGAGCGTGTCCAATCAGGGAGTTGCAATATGATCCGAGCCATGCTAGGAAGATTGTTTATCGATTATGAAGAAGGTTAGTATGTACAAGAAACGATGCGTTGCCTGGGTACACTTGTGCTGACAGCGGCAGACGTGTTCTGAAGATATGGGTTTCAATTTGCAAAACGCTACTCGTCAGCGCATGTCCCGAGTCGGTCTACAGTCTCTTGGTCTGCTATGATAAAATCAGCGCGTATGTAACAAGGATAATTGCTCGCATGGCGGAGCGGGGTCGAAGGACGATGTCTAGAAGTGACCAGGAGCTGGAAGTCGCGCTAGTGGGAACTTCCTTGGCGCTCTACGAATTTCAGTACAAGCTCCAACTTCGCGACCAACTTTCGAAACCCGCGCAAAAGGACAGACGATACCGAAGCACGTTGAAACCTCTAATATTGTCCGCTTGACCAGAAACCAATCAATCATCGCCAATCGCCAAAATGAGGTTAACGACAGACCTGATCAACAACTCCCTCTCTTTCATCAACTGTCTCACGGAGCGTGAACTCGATCTGCGAGGTGCGTTGGAAAGAACAGATACTACACTTGAGAGCTGAGTTGATATCAATATCGTATAATATAGGTCACAAGATTTCGGCTATCGAGAACATGGGAGCAGCCAGAGTTAGTCGACCAAGCCACCCAACCTGCATCAGTATGTTAACAGGGTCGCAGGACAACGACGCCATAGATCTCACAGACAACGACATCGCACAGCTCGGCAACTTCCCCCTCCAGCCTCGTCTCCGAACCCTCTTCCTCGCGCAGAACCGCATCTCCAACATCCAACCGAACCTCTCCTCGAGCATACCCAATCTGCGAACACTAGTTCTCACCAAGAACAAGATCGCAGAGCTGGCGGACTTGGATCCGCTGGCGGGATTCAAGCATTTGGTCTATCTTTCATTGATGGGGAATCCCGTCACACGCAAAGAGGTACGTACCAAATCCCTTGAACCATGATACTTCGAGCCTAATTGTGCAAGCACACTTGAGCCCGAGGAGCGGAGATGATGCAGGGTGAGCCCCTTGGTGCGATTTGGCCGGCTCAAAATCGCATGACAGTAGACTATAATGTGCAGGATGCTAACGTGGCGTAGAACTACCGGTATTGGGTCATCTGGCGCTGCCCTACTGTGCGATTCCTAGATTTTGTCAAAGTACGCGATGCTGAACGAAAGACGGCCAAGGAGCTATTTGGAACTGCAGAGGAGCCCACCGAGCTTGCAAACCAGGTATGTCATGTACACTGCTTCTGCCTCTGATCAGATACTGATTCCGCCAGATCTCCAGCAACAAGTCGAAAGGTTTTGTTGTCCCCACATTCACAAACGGTGCCGACTCGGGTAAAGAGCGTATCTACACCGACGAAGAGAAGAAGCGCATGCGCGCTGCCATCCTCAACGCGAGCAGTCTGGCGGAAATGGCACGGCTGGAGAAGGATTTCGCTGAAGGGCGGATACCAGCACATATCCTCCAAGGCGGAGAACCCATGGAGACATAGCGACTATACCGCTGAGAGTCTGGATAGTGACATAAACATGTAAAGCAGGTAGACAGTACAGCTCGCGACTGCGCGAAACCCCACGCCTACAGGGGAACAAGGAGGCGCACGACCATTGTGAGGCGCATAAAGGTTTGGTTTGCACCGCGTGTGGCTCTCAAGGAGCGAATGCGCAGTGGAATATCCACGGGAAGACCTGGTGACTCTACCACAGACATGGAGGCGTATGTAGTGAAGCGCTCGAGCTGGAAGTAGATTGATCTGTATAAATTAAAACAGACTGCTTTGCGCTATGAGGCTGTCCCCACCCGTGGTATCGTAGTAATACACTCAGAACGCCGTGATGCCATGTACCATCATAAATCGATCCTTTCCCACGCTGTTATCCGGATCAGATATGGAGTCGTTTTCACCGTGCTACCATCCCCTTCCTCTACCTCCGCGTCCACCTCTTCCGCCGCCTTGATGACCTTGTTGGAAGCCTCCGCCTTGCTGGCCGCCAGGTCCACCACCGAAGCCACCCATGCCCTGGCCAGCCATCTGCATGAAGGATGCAAAGTCCATCTGGCTGGGGTCCATTCCCTGCGCCATCATATCCTGCATCATCATCTGCATCTGCTGTTCATTCATACCTCCAGGTCCCATAGCATTACCGCCACCTCCAGGCCCTGTTGGCGGCGCACCGCCTGGTCCACCGTTACCCTGTGGGCCAGCGCCCATACCAGGCATACCCGGCATCGGTCCACCGCCCATCATAGCCTGCATCTGTGCCATGTCGTTTTTCTGACCTTGCAGCGTGTTGGCCATGCTGACTTGTCTCTGCCGGTACAATTCCCAAGTAAACTCATCAAAACCGTAGTTGAAGTAATCTGACTGGTCTTCACCTGGTCGGCGCCAGATCTTTTGCTCTTCAGCTAGATCTGCATCAATGTCCACACTGAGGATCTCTTTGCCTTGAGGAGGGTAGACAGGATTTCCGTTCACATCGATAGTAGAGGTGCGTTGTGCGGGGAAGGCGGCGCCTGAAAGGGATGCGGCGGACAGTTGGGGCACAGTGCCGCCGGTGGTGGGAACAGTTTTGGGGGCTCCCTGTTGCGAGGGAGTAGTGGATGAGGCGGGTGGTGCTTCGATCTTTATGGCTTTGCTTTCTGGGGGTGCCTGCGTGCTGGACGGGCTTGTCAGTGCATGAACTGCTGTTTGAAGCTTGTTTGAAGCTTACCCTGCGGGTTTGGGAGGTGCTGGCGCTTTCTCGATAATGATATCAATATCCTACAGCTTCGTTAGAATGACAGCTAGCTTTTGGCAGGCTTCCGGTGCAGCGTACCGAGTCGCTTTCTTCCTCGTCGCCCGACTCTTCATCCATGGGCTCGTCACCACTAGAGTCGTCCTCCTCTTTCTTCGCATGCTTTTGCTGTTGCGTGGTAGTCTCATCTCCGTAGAGATCGTCGTCAGATTCGTCTGCCATTTTGTCGTTCTCTTCGGTCCACAAGTCGCAGAGCGCGTCCCCAGCAGTTGAGATCCTCCAGGGAATTACTATGTATCCAGCACTCTGGAGTGCTCTTTTGAGAGAAGGAGCTTGGTCAGCGCTCAGTCTTTTGCTTTGCTTGTTCTTGTTGTCGAGAGTGAAACAAGATTAGAAGTCGTGTCTTGAACGACTCTCGTAGTAATGCCTCTGCTAACGAACTTGAGCTTCCTTTGAGTTGCTGGATGAGGGAATGATTAGCCGAGTAGAATGGACGCGTTCGGGCCTGTGCTTGTTGCTGGCGCGCAGCCAAACAGACGCAGACGTTCCTTGTCACCTCCGGGCGCAACCTTTGCACGTCTAACCACGCGCATTCTCCCAGGCCTTCTTTCCTCGTCTTGTGATAATCTCTACGGGCTTCTCAACGGGTAGACTTCGTTCGCGGCTGCAACCTTGTCCTTGTGAACCTTTCGCAAGCGACTGTATTTACACAACGAAGCTACCAAACATAGCTAGGGACACTCGCACGAGATGGCAGGATTTGGGCGCTCAAACTCGTTGAGTATCAATACTGGTGGGGGTGGATTGTTGTAAGTGCTTCTCCATCCTCCGTCAAACGCTCCTACTCGAGCGATACGAGTGCTACTGCCGTGCTTCATGCGCGCGTCGCAGTTTTGCTGGCAATGGCACCATATCAATGCATTAGACTGACTCTCGCAGCGGAAACAATGCGAACCAAGGGCAGCAGGCAAGCCAGCCTCAGAGCAGCGGAGGGCTCTTTGGGTCTACCCAGCAACCACAACAAGCACAGTCAGGATCGCTCTTCGGCGGCCAAACCCAGACTTCCCAGCCCTCAAGCGGCAGCCTCTTTGGCAATTTGAACAAGCCTGCGACGACAGCGCCGGCGAGCGGAGGACTCTTTGGCTCATCTACAGCGCAACCAACACAGCCCCAGAGCGGAGGCTTGTTCGGCGGCGCGTTGGGCGGAAACACTCAAAATCAGACGCAGAACGCGCCCCAATCCGGTGGGCTATTCGGAGGCGCCCAGTCGAAGCCGTCACTATTGTAAGTGACGAGGACTATGCGTTGTGACACAAGGGCTAACTGCATCTTCTAGCGCCTCTTCAACACAACAGACAACAACACCCTCTTTATTCGGAAACAACACATCCACTCAGCAAAACCAAACATCGACCCCGTCGCTTTTCGGTTCGACCCAACAGCAGGCTCAGCCACAGCAGCAAAACAGTCTTTTTGGTGGCACCAACACACAAAACAGGTCGAATACACTTGGTGGCTCTACGCTTGGAGGAACCCAGATGAGCTCAAGCGCACAGCCGGTGCAGATGACCCTGGACTCGATACGAGGAACTACGCGGTTCAACGACCTGCACCCCGAAATACAAAACCTCATTCAGCAATTCGACGACGGCATTCAGCGCAAGGTCAACTACTGCAACCAGATCCGCGAGGCTCTTCCCGGCAGTGAGGGCGACATTTCCACTATTGCGCCTGACGTAGCATACATTGAGACCATCCTCTCCACCGTCGAAGTCGGCCTGGACAACGATTCTGCCAACATTGCACACCTTAAAAATCTTGTCAAGAAAGACGCCGACGACGCGACTCTCAGCTTCCGTGCCATCGAAAATCAACGCCTGCCAGCACAATTTCATTACCGCAATAATGCGAACCTTACAGCTTCAAGCACAAAGGCCCCCGCAACAAGCGCTCTGGATGATGACGATCCGACAAAGCCTGTTGACCTGATGGGCTACTTCAACCGCCGTACCGATGAGCTCGGCAGTACTCTGGATGTGTACCAGCGCCAGATCCGTGAGATTGAAGCACACTTACGAACGATGGAGGCTGGCACGATGGAGAAGGCTCAGCAACTGACGGGCAGCCGAAGCGCGCCACGTGATCAGCGCCGTGAGCTCGTCGAAGCTCTCAAGGCCATTGAGGGGGCTATCCTCGACTCAGCCAAGAAAGTGGGCAAGGTACGGGACGATGTGACGAAACAGACGTTAGGAAACGTAGGCGCCGCCCTGCTCTGAGGCATACAGACACAGCGATGATTTACTTGTGTCAGATAGAATGAAGTTTGTGGGCAGGCTACTGTGTATAATATGGTTAAGGCGTAACAAGTTTTTGCACAAGGTCTTATGCACATGAACGTTGGACGAACAGGCAAAAGCAATAGATACCCATCAAATTCAGAGCGTCCTTCCACCTTTGTGATAGTAATTCTCTATTCCAATGGCCTTTCTAGACCGCTCGATACGCGCTGACTTGATGCCTAGCGTTTACAGTCAAAGCGGAATATCATCACGAAATGCTTTGTCACGGCGGACGTTAGTCAAGCTTTCCAAATGCTGAGTAAACTCCACCCTCGGAACGCGCGCCCCACCAAATCGGAACCAAGAGAAGCTATGACGTCTCCGTCTCAGTATAGCTGCGAGCTTTCAATGACAGCTATATAGCCACAACGTTTGCTCATATAGTTTCAAGCTGCCGTTCCATGTTCTCTCGTACACTGCGGCTCAGGGCAATCTCGAAACGTTCTTCCTTTGCGATACGACATACACGACCTTTTATCGTAACATCAAGCCGCGCAGCCATGGACAAAGCGCCTCAGCAAGATAGCAAGGATGGGAAGGGGTCGATCCTTGATTGGGTGAGTGCTCATGAAGAGAGGAGTGTCACAAGCACGGAATCTAGTCTCTGTTCCTTAGGTATCGAACGGGCGGCAGACCCAGCATCAGCATACTGATTGCGACAACAGGTCAAACCTGGTGACAAGAGTGGCGAGTTTAAACGCCAAACGTCCGTCTTCAGGAACTGGATTCAGAACAAACCCGGTGCTGAGTTTCCGCCCGAGAAAGGTCGATACCATCTCTACGTTTCTTACGCTTGTCCATGGGCCCACCGCACACTCATCGTCCGTCATCTAAAGGGCCTCGAGGATATCATCTCCTATAACAGTGTACACTGGCACATGGCGGAGAAAGGCTGGCGATTCGCAACCCCCGATGAGCAGGTTTCCGGTAACACAACACCAGACCCACTCCACAATGAATACACGCATCTACGTGACATCTACTTTGAGCAGAACCCAGACTATGAGGGTCGGTTCACTGTACCAACGCTCTACGATAAGAAAGCCAAGAAGATTGTCAGCAACGAGAGCGCCGAGATTATCAGGATGCTTTACACCGAGTTTGACGACATCATCGAGGAGAAGCACAGGAAGGTGGATTTGTTTCCCAAAGATCTCCAGAAGGATATCGAGGCTATGAACGACTGGGTATACAACGATGTAAACAATGGTGTTTACAAGTCAGGGTTCGCTACGTATGCTACCCTATACCGTCCCTTCAACATTGACTGCAACGTATTAATAATGGTACAGCACAGAAGAGGCCTACACAAAAGCTGTGACACAGCTTTTCAAGTCTCTCGATCGCCTGGAAGAGTCATTGTCCAAGTCTTCAACACCATACCTTCTTTCAAGCCCACATGTGACTGAGGCTGATATCCGTCTCTTCACGACTATCATTCGCTTCGATCCCGTCTATGTCCAGCACTTTAAGTGCAACATTCGCGATATTAGATCAGGATACCCTCTTCTACATCAGTGGATGCGTCATTTGTACTGGGTATGTTCCCGTCTTTTGCATCTCCTGCTCCAAATACATCTGCATGTTGTGGATCATAACTGTTGTACTAACATGACTGAAATAGGACTACCCCGCTTTCAAAGAGACCACAGACTTTGAACACATCAAGAAGCACTATACCAAGAGTCATGGTCAGATCAACAAATTCCAGATTACGCCCATTGGCCCTGTGCCAGATATTCTGGAGAAAGAGGATGAAGTGCCTAGCGTGAAGGCCGTAATGAACAAATAGTTAACGATAGAAATTCAACGCACGTAATTTGACGTCTCCTACCGCATTCGCAGTTTTTTGAATTGTCTACCCAACGAGGCCAAGTTCGAGAGTATTTCTGCTTCACTGTGCCAATGGAAGGATGAATTAGAGTCATAGGAGCCATTGTCAAGGAAACAAGGAAACATATTCGACAAGTGATAATAGTTCGTGACTACTCGAGAACACAGGCCTATTGTTTCAAAGCTAGTACCATGCTCACTGCAGCCAGGGCGCCCATCAAGCCTACAGCTAGAATGACTGCGGCAAATGGTATCAGTGGCGGGCGAACACTCTTCTGCATCATGCCACTGATCTCCGTCTCCAGCCTCTCAGCCAACTTCTCTTTGGAGAATTCGGCCACAACTCTATCCCTGCCCCACTTGCCCATCTCTTTCAGCCGTTCCTCACCTTCGCCATCTTCGAGCGCAATGCGCATGACCTCGGTCCAGTCCTGTACCTTGGCGACGTCTCGCAGCCAACCTGTCTGGCCGCTTATGACTGTTTCAGTGGGTCCACCTTCATTAGCGGCTAAGACCGGTGTGCCTACCAACATGGCTTCTAGCGGTACGATGCCAAAGTGCTCATGCAAAGGAGTGTACACAAGGAGGCGCGAGGTATGTAGTAGCGCGGCTTTGAAAGCATTCGGAACAGAGTGGAGGAAAAGAATCGGAATGTCGTCAGGAATGGCTTGGGCAGTGATGACGGTCTTAGCAGTCGCGTGCTTCAGCTTGAGTGAATCTGCCAGGTGGCACAACTCGGTATATGTAGAAACATTTTCGGGCACTCTGGGATCATAGCCACCTGCGATTACCAGCCGTGCATCCTCGCGCTCTCTAGGCGACAAGCCCGCAAATGCCCTGATTGCAAGTGCTACGTCCTTTTTCTTCTCGAAGCGATTGATGCTGAGGAGCACCTTTTTGTTCTTCCACAACGGCGTGACCTCGTCGACCGACTCGGCTGCGGTGATGTCTACGCAGGGATATACAACGCCAGGCTCGCGGTGCTTCAGGGCAGGAAAGGCCTCGCCGAAAATGCTCTTGGTGAAGTTGCTGTTGACGACAATGGTGTCGCTGCATCCCGTGCTCCAGCTCTCGAGCCAGTCAAAAGGCCCACGGTATAGTGTCTTCAGCAGTCCGCCCTTCTTGGCTAGTAGTTTGTCGGGAAAGTGGCAGTAAAAGATGACACGTGGGCGGGGCTGTAGCAGGCGCAAGAGCGGAATGCCAGCGCTGAGCTGGTCGACAAAGAACGAGGAAGGCGCGAGTTTTGGGAGTTCTTCGGTGAACAGGGCAATCTGGAGTATCAAATGCACCTGGCGCAGGATGGCACAGAGTATAGCGAAGCGGCCGAAGATGGTTGAAGGGACGATGGTGTTTCCGCGCACTCGTACGTCGAGGGTTCCTTTGTGTGCGCGTCAGGTCTCAGCTGCGTGGCCAGGCATAGGCGGCGGGTGGTCCGAGGTGTTGTAGTAGAGGCTTACCATCGCGCGCCTCATCGAAGCAGTGTTGCGGGTCGCAGTGCGATGTGAAGATGGTGACCTTGTGCCCGCGATTCTGAAGGCCGACTGCGGCATCGATGACCAGGCGCTCCGCCCCGCCAATGCCCAGGTCGGGGTGGAAGAAGACGACGTGCTCCTTCTTTTCCGCCATCGTGTGTTCAAAGAGAGAGAGGGAGAGGGAGACGGTCATTACGTGTTGCGATGCACGAGATCAAGTGGGCTGCGGGTGACCTTTCCGCTTTGGGGTTGGTGTCAAGGCGGGCGCGACGGATGAACGATGACCTGGAAGGCTGCACCTGACGCGTGCGAACGTACAATTAGACACTACGCGTGCGATCCCGTCTGATAAGACTCCATCCAACGAGGATTTGCGTCGAGTATACACAGTGAAAGATCCGCATCACACCCTTCAACATGTTCGTCGTGGCGCATCAACACTGCCCAACATCCTAACACGACTACCACCACGACTAGACTCGCGCATCAACCGCTGCCATGGGTCAAGGCTTCTCCCTCACTACCCTTTCTGCTGGCTCAGCCAACATTGACGTGCCTGAGCTAGCGGATCTCCAGTATGAGAAGTCGCTGGGGGCTGCGCGTTTTATGAAAGCCGTACGGGCGCGCCACAAGGACGGTCTTGTCGTAGCCCGAGTGGTAATGAAACCATATGCTCAATTTGATTTCCAGGAACATGTCAAACGGCTACTCCGTGAGTTTCGTACAAGCTCCGTCATCTTGCAGCTGATTGATTAACATTTACAAGATGAACGCAAAGTGCTGGCAGATGTGCCCAATGCCATCCCATATCACCGCGTTATTGAGACAGCTGCTTGCGGTTATCTTGTACGCCAATACATCCACAGCTCTCTATACGATCGGTTGAGGTACGTCCTTGTTCCTTTACCAGCCATGTCTCTTATTCAACATCATATAGTACACGTCCATTCCTGGAAGAGATAGAGAAGAAATGGCTCTCGTTCCAGCTCCTTTGCGCTGTACGAGACTGCCACGCCAGGAATATCTATCATGGCGACATCAAGACCGAGAATGTCCTTGTCACATCCTGGAATTGGCTGTATCTCGCCGACTTTTCGTCCTCGTATAAGCCAGCACATCTACCGGAAGATAACCCTGCCGACTTCTCCTTCTACTTCGACCTCTCCGGTCGCCGCACTTGTTACCTTGCACCAGAGAGGTTCCTGGCTGCTGGACAGCAACCTGAAGGCGAGGGCGATGTAAATTGGGCCATGGACATCTTCAGCGTCGGCTGCGTTATTGCCGAACTATTCTTGGAAGCACCCATCTTCTCCCTCAGTCAGCTCTTCAAGTATCGACAAGGCGAATACAACCCCGAACATTCCCATCTCAACAAAATCCAGGATGCTAGCGTACGGGAACTGATCTTGCACATGATACAAGTAGACCCTAATTCACGCATGACTGCTGAAGACTATTTGACGCACTGGAAAGGCAAGGTATTCCCAACATACTTCTATGGCTTTTTGCAACAGTACATGTACTCAATCACCGATCCATCCTCGGGGCGCAAGCCTGTAACCACCGGAACAGAACATCTTGGTGAACCTGATGAGCGTATAGAGCAGATATATAGCGACTACGACAAGATCTCCCACCTGCTTTCCAACGAGGAAGGAAAGGAGCTCACTAGACCAGAATTTTCTCCTCCAAAGCCAAACGCCAAGCTCTTCCCGCTATTCGTCAACATACCAAACTATCAGCACCAAGCTTCTCCTGCCCGGAGTCTAGCCATCGACGACGGCAACTTGGTCTTCTTGACTATTGTCGTGTCTTGTCTACGTGGAACAGCGAGAGCTTCTGCCCGTGTTCGCGGCCTCGAGTTACTCCTGGCATTCTCAGAGCGCTTGACAGACGAAGCAAAGCTGGACCGAGTGATCCCTTACGTGGCCCAATTGCTAGTCGACAAGTCCGACCAAGTCAAGATTGCTGCACTACGCACGCTGACGCAAATCCTTGCTATGGTGCAGGTCGTCTCTCCCATAAACGCCTACATCTTTCCGGAGTATGTTTTGCCACGACTAGAGACATATCTACCTGATTATCCTACCAACGTTGGCTCCCTTGTTCGTATGCAGTATGCCTTTTGTATTGGCACATTGGCAACTACTGCGGCTAGGTATCTGGATATGATCCAAGCTCTGCGTGCAGAGGGATCATTACCCACTGCAGATCCCGAAACGGAAGATGACATGTCTTCGTCTGCTCACCGGAACCAGTTTGACTCGGACCGTCGCATTCTCGTAGAAGCCTTCGAGAAGCATACTAAAGCTCTTCTTACTGACAGCGACGCTGCGGTTCGTCGAGCCATGCTCAAGTCCGTCTCTGACCTCTGCGTTTTCTTCGGCAGTCCTAGGGCCAATGATGTCGTCCTCAGTCATCTCAACACCTATTTGAATGATCCAGATTGGATGCTCAAGTGTGCATTCTTTGAGGGCATTGTGGGCGTGGCCGTATTCGTTGGCGGTGCTAGTCTGGAAGGTTACATTCTACCGCTTATGGTTCAGGCATTGACAGATCCAGAAGAGTTTGTGGTTGAAAAGGTTATTCGAGCACTTTCGTCCATGGCAGAGCTTGGCCTATTCCAGCGCTCCAAGACTTGGGAGCTGGTGGACATCCTTGCCCGGCTTACCATGCACCCCAATCTGTGGATACGAGAGGCAGCTGCACAATTCATCTCGGCCGCCTCTAGGTACCTGTCGGTAGCCGACACGCACAGCATTCTGGTCAACCTCATTCGACCGTATCTAAAAGTCATACCCTCAGAATTCTCTGAGCTACGAATTCTGGAGTCTTTGAAGCTACCTATGTCACGTTTACTCCTAGAGATGGCTTCAAACTGGGCACTTCAATCTCAAAAAGGACAGTTCTGGGTCGCAGCTAGGCATCAGCAGACGTTTACCTTTGGTTCATCAGACGATAGCCTTCCAACGATTTCTGGGCGTGAACTAGACCAGAAGGTACTGCAACGGTTACCAAAAAACGAGGAAGACGAGCTATGGCTACGAAAGCTTCGTAATGCAGGCATGACGATAGAGGATGATTTCAAACTTGTTGCTCTGCGAGAGTTCATCTGGAGGGTAAGCCATCGCCGGCGCTCTGACAGTCTTTCCACCCCAACTACGAAATTCAATAGCGTTGTCTTGTTGCACGACCTTGGTATCAAAGCCCAGACTGTGCTTTTCGATGAAGACGTCCGTCAAGTCATGGAACAAACCAGGAAGCCAAACGCTCCCGAGGAACATATGCAGCCTCGAACGATCAAGGATGCTCTGTTGGATGCATCAACTACGGAGGCTAATGGGCTGGCTGATCGTATGCCGCATTTTGAGAGTCAAGCGGGACGCCTCATACGCGAAGAGACGGGCATAACCATTCCCGTACGATCGAAGATGTCTTCTTCCAACGATGCACACTCTAGTCTGGGCTCGCCACCTTCAGAGACCGATGCGCGACGGAGGTCATTACAAACCGCGAAGCCGTCCCTGTCGCCATCAAACTCTATTGGCTCGAGTGACTACCCTGGTAGCCTTCGACATCGCAGCAGTGCGCTGGGACTGCTCGGTAAAGGAGAGAACAAAGCATTGGCAGAGATTGGTACTACTTCTGCAAACGCTTTCGGAAAAGTGGATGGAACCCACGTCCGAGATTCTTCACGGTCCCGACCTCCGAACTCCCCACTCGCTTTCGATCGGCATGAGCGAAGTCCTATGCGGATCCGATTTAGGAACGCACATAACTATACGGGCAACGATCCGGCAATCCTCAAGCTTCTAGATTCCATGCTGCTAGAGCGCTTCCCTACAGATGAGATCGAGTTCGGTCCTCGCATACAGCCACCGGTTCGGCGACAGCCAATTAGATATAAGGATGCTCACCAATCGGCACCCGGTATACCGTGGAGACCGGAAGGCACCTTAGTGGCTAGTTTCGGGGAGCACACTGCTGCTGTCACGCGAATTCTAGTATCCCCGGACCAAGGCTTCTTCATCAGCGGATCAGATGACGGTACTGTAAAGATTTGGGACACGTCGCGCCTGGAGCGTAATATCACCCGAAGATCGCGACAGACTTACAGATTGGGTGAGGATGTCAAGGTCACAAGTCTGGTGTTTGTAGAACAGACTTATTCGTTTGTTGCAACGGGGAGTGATGGAAGTGTACATGTGGTACGTGTAGACTACCTCCAGAGTCAGGACGGCAATGCCAAATTCGGAAGACCTCGACTTCTTCGCGAATATCAGCTTCCCAAGGGCGATTGTGCTGTATGGTCGGAACACTACAATGGAGACAGCAGGTCAGTGCTTTTGTTAGCCACCAATACCTCCAAGGTCATCGCACTAGACTTGAGAACCATGGAACTGCTATACACCCTCGACAACCCTTTGGATCATGGAACACCTACCTGCTTCTGTGTGGATAAGAGAGCACATTGGCTGCTACTAGGGACTTCGCATGGCGTACTTGATCTCTGGGATCTCCGCTTCAAGCTTCGTCTCAAAGCCTGGGTATGTCACGGAGCATCGCCTATACATCGTCTTTGCCAAGTTTTCTTCCCAAAGTTGAAAAAGACTCGATTGTATATTGCCGGTGGTAGCGATCAGGGAGAGGTCACAGTATGGGATTTTGAAAAGCACATTTGTAAGGAGGTATACCGTACGGGAACGTGCAAAGACATCGGTAACAAGAGCACCACACTCATCGATCTTGATGAGGAGAAACCTGGCGGTATGCTTGGCCGCTTTGCAACCAGCGTCGAACCAACAGCCAGCTCAACAGCCGACCGCGGTATTCGCGGACTAGCAATACACACACAGGCTACAGATGAGAAAGGCGAGCCAAAGCACACATTCCTCCTTACTGCAGGTCCGGACTGGAAAGTCCGGTATTGGGATACCAGTCGAGCAGAATCATCGATGGTTGTGAGTGGCCTAGAGCTTGATGAAAGCAAGCCAACTTACACCGCTTCGCAACCGAGCCCAGATACTGTCGTCATTACTGAGAGGTTACAGCAGCCTGCCAACCAAGTGAGTAGTGCAAGGGACAGCAGGCCGAACACTTCAGTCAAGAAGGTACCCGGCAAATCGTCAAGATCAGGTGCTATCGCGTTGCAGCAGCAGTACCTGCTTAAGAGTCATGTGGACCGTATACTAGATGTGGCGTTGATTGAGCAGCCATACGGCATGGTCATCTCAGCCGATCGGTCTGGAGTCATCAACCTTTTCATGTAGAGATTTGCTTCAATAGAACACATCAAACTATCGCCATTACAATCACTCGTGACCGGATTGCACATTGTGAAAGTGTTTTGACCGAACACGTTCTCGGTCGTGCTATCGCACCAAGGTATACTCCGAGTAAGATGGTAGTCTCCAGACGAAACAGGACGCTAGCAAAGCAGCCCCGACTCATTCAATGGGTAAGGGACCTTGCGGCTCCTTCTCTATCAGCACGAACAACATACTGATGAAGTTATCATGCCGGAAATAGTGATGCTTGGTGTATCTTTCCCAAAACCATGCTCAGAAAACCTCACGGTCGCCGGACTCCGATGCATTTCGCGTCTTATCCGGACGCGCGTGATCTCCTTCCCAATTCGTCTTAGCCAACCACGAGGCGTTCCGCATATCTTTATCGACATCGAATCAGCACACGACTTAAGCACAGGTGAGAGCTCGACGCGATATCGGGGATTCCAAGTTCTTGGTACCCGTTCCTGTTCCTGCAGCGATTATCTTCCAAGTTGCTCAGCTATATGCCTAATTCAGTACAGTCGCCATGCATGTGGCGCAACCAAAAGCTGGCACCGGTTCGACCGGAATAGGTCGCTGGGTTCCTATATAAAGTGTGGCTTCTCGGGTGTTTATGGTACGCCAGGAAGGTTGCACGCCGCTTCTGCAAATCTCAAAGCTTAGACGCCCACGTCCTTGTCAATCGGTCAGCATGCGCCTCTCTCTCAATGCTGCGCTCGCAGTAGCGCTGGGTCTTGCCTCGTCTTCAGATGCACTCAAGATCCTCATGGGTAACGATGATGGATTCGGAAGCGGAAATCTGAGAGAGCTGTACAAGTTGTTGGTCGATGCAGGCCACGAAGGTAATGCCTTTCATCAATTCTAGCCCTGTGATGCCCGATGCTAACTCCGCGCCAGTTCTTGTCGTCGCCCCGGCGCAACAGCAGTCCGGTAAAGGCAGCACCGTCATCTGGGCCGAGTCAGCAAACCTCACTACCCCATCCCAATACGACATCATTCCTGCAGGTGCACCAGCAGTCGGCCGTGATCCAAACGATGACAACATCTGGTACTACGATGGTACACCTGCTGCGTGCACCTTCGTGGCGCTCGACTACGTGCTTCCACGTTACTACCCCGACTGGCATCAGACAGCTGATCTCTTCATTGCCGGGCCAAACTACGGCACGAACCTCGGTCCCTTTGTGATGGGCCTGAGTGGAACTGTAGGCGCAACGTTTGCCGCTGTATCGCGCTCAATCCCTGGAATTGCCACGAGCGCGAGCAACAAAGCGGTGCCCTATTTCAACGTGACAAGTGCCTCAGATCCCGCTGCTTTGGCAGCCAAAGTCTCCTTCGAAGTCGTCAACGAGTTCATCAAGAACACACCAGAGGGGCAAAAGGTTCTTCCTTTGGGCTATGGCGTAAATGTCAATATACCCGAGCTTGTCAATAGCACCATGCCCCCGGTGATCAAGACCAGGCTCACAGGTGAGGCCAACACAGATGTGGCAGTTTTCAACGAGACGAGTGGCCTGTTCACGTGGGACAACCTCGACCCTCTAGCTGCTGGCATCAACGCCGCGTACAACGGAGACACAAGTCTGCCTGGCGAGACGTTCGTAGTCGCTGGAGGCGGCATTAGTGTTAGTGTCTTCACCATGGACTTCTCTGCGCCGAGCATTGAGTACACCGAAGCAGTGTATGGCAAGGCTGAGAGCTTGTTTAGCGCTAGTTCTGATGTGAACGCTACTAGTTACAGTAAGAGGATGGTGCAAGAGCGTATGCGCAAGAGGGGCGCCATGCTGAGCGGACGCGACGGCGGAGCGTAGAAATTTCGCGTTGTTCTAGCCATAGTTATGTCATCAATAAATCATGCTACTGTAATAGCGGGAGCCATCTGTCAGTGCCCCACACCAGCCGTTCCTATCAACATCACGAACCACACTCAAACGCGAACATAAGTAATCATCTCTTCTCTGAACACCAAGAATCGCTGGCGCATCGCGAGCGCCATACTGTATTTGGCAACGCGACAGGCACCTAACAGGCCAAGCTTTCGCCAAGCTCATGCATACCGGTGCCACAGTAGCAGCTTCTGACATCCGGAGGGTTTCACAGCCTTGTCGTTCAGGAACAACATCCAGCTCAGGCCATGCAGGATTGCGCGATCCATTCTCTGGCGACGCATAACGTTTGCAACTCCAGGCAGAATTTTCCTACTCGTGGGAACTCTTTCAACAGCCGCCGAATTGAAGTGCTCGTGCGCTTTGCGCATAGAGCCTGATACTCCAGGTCGTGTATGAGACGGCGCCTTGGGAGACGCTCTGGCGGGATAGCTCGGCAAGAACGAAACCTCAGGATCGGAGCTCTTGCTTCGGGTGTGTCTAGCCTACAACAGCGCTGTGCAGAAGATATGTATAAGAACGCATTGCAAACCTCCCTCTTAAGTTTCTTATTATCATCAAGCGTTTTCAATCATCTCCTTTTAACTACTAAACATATCCAGCTTGACGCTGTGACTTCAATTCTTACCTTCTTTACCTCTATCATCAGCTGTGCTGTTCCTACGAATTACTTTTTGTTATCTTGAATATCCACTCCCCACATCTTCACCATGTACTTCCAATCTTTCGCCGTTCTCTCGCTCGCCGCCCTCTCTGTCGCTGCACCCACATCTAGCAAGCGCGCAGTGTTGGCCCGTCAAAGTGGACCAGTTCTCGCCGACACAACCTACAACGACATCTCCATCTCAGGTGGACAGGCTGGAAATGCCCAAGCCGAGGCCATGGCGGTCTTCTCGGCGCTGGACCTACAGAACCCTGGAAACATCGATCCCGCAGATCTTACCTTTTTGAATGAAGTCAACCAAGTCGCCAATGATGCAGAAAAGGAGGCTTTTAACCCCGCAGTGGAAGCTGCTACCGGTGATGAGGCCGACCAGATCCAGGTATGTGACTTTTCATGACCGCGACGTAGCAAAAGCTGACAAGTCGGCAGAACGGAAAGATCAAGAACAAGGTCCTGAAGCTCATGGCCACTGTCATCAAGCTTCAGGCTCAGCAAGCCCAGGGTGACGATTCCGTTGCCGACAAGCTTGCGGAGGAGATGACGAAGCTCAACAACAACATCAAGCAAGACACGGCGGCTGCCGGCCAATTGTCCATTGCTGAGCCTTTTGACGCCACCATCTCTGGCGGAGGCAACTAAGAAGCGGGGGTGAAGACGAGGATAATCCAATAGTCGTACCATCAAGGTTGGGAGCACCATAGTACGAAACGAGATCCTTCTGCGCTTCGCAAGCGTAACTAACTGTCTAAATTACCATTGCAACCTGTGACACCTGTCACCAGTTATAAATATATCTATGTCATGTCCAAATTCTCACTCTTGCGCTGACAATGTCAAGACAACGTTGAATCTCAATTGTCGTGAACTATGCAAGACTCGAGGTCTCGATAACGCTGTCATCAGAGCCACGAGGCTGATCCGGCGATGTTGACGTTGAGTACTGTTAGCCGTTCCATAGTGTCTGGCAGCTTGCACTTTCCCCACTTATAGCGTGGCCTGATGGCCGGAACTTGAAGAACTGCCGAACATGGAGCCTCGGAACGGCGTCGGCCTCGCGTCATCGTACGTTGGTCGACTTTAAATACTCCCGCCTCGATAACAGCACTAAGCAGCTCTATACCAATTAACATTGACGTTGACATTGTTGTTGCATTTGTTGCTTCTGTAGTAGTTGTCATCAGTTGATTTTTGTTATCGTGGTCCTCGCGCTCGCATTGGCGTCACCATGTCGAAGCTATCACCAACACTCAAGTCGCTCATCAACGCCGCGCATTCGCGCCCAGGCCCCGTACCAGCGCCACCAAGGATACAGGCTGTATACAAGCGGATAGAGCAAGAGGCCACAGATCGCAAGCTTGGGCGACCATCATGGCTCGGCATCTCTACAGCCGCGACCATGACGATGAACTCGCCCGAGTCGATGATGGCCCTATACAACAGCTCAGCTACCGCCAGACCAGAGAGTGAAGGTGTCGCGATAGCAGAATTCATGCGCGAGATCGGTCTGAAGTGCATCGGCTTCAATGGCGTAAGCATTTGACCTGACGCGTGAGATAAGGCCGTGTACTCATACTCGTTGCAGATACCGCGCACCATCAACATGTTAAACGCCTTCCGCGCCGAACTCCCCTCGTCAATCGCGTCCTCCCTAAACACCAAACCTACGCGCTTCCCAGACCCTTCTAACATCGAACACATAAACAAACGCGGACGCGCTCTCTGGGATGCCATCTACCGCCCCCTAGAAACAAAACTCGAACACAAGCTCGGCGACGCGCATCCCGATCTGCCCGTCTTCATCATCAACAACGAATACGGTGGCCTCTTCACCGACCCTCCCCGCAGAGAAGGAGCCACCGTGGGCCGCATAACAACCAGCTTAATCGCCATCACATGCTTGAGGGCGCAACAAGGAGTCGGACCCCAAGTGCTCAGCCACGTCTTTGGCCTAAGGAAGGCTTGGGAAGATGGCACCTGGAAGCAAGAGCCTGAAGCTGGCGAAGAGGAGGGCATCAAATGGTTGGTTAGCGATGAAGGGTGTACATGGATCCTGGAGAAGGTCGATGAGCTTGTTGAAGCTCTTGGGGGAGGACAGGGAAGCACCTTTGCGCCCATCAAGTCTAAGCTTTAAGAGCAATATCTCGATGCCATCATGAGATGATAAAGAGAACAAGTCAGCCATGGTGATACCTTAGTCTTTTTTACCATTCGAGCCATAGGTTTCTTCGCAAGCGCCATCTTGCAAATTATCAGAAAATGCTGAGGCAGGTAAGAATGACTAAGGAATAACGAATCATGATGAACTACTCAACAATGGCGAGGAGCTATGTAACTTGAGAAAGCGGTCTCTATCAGCTGTATCCTGAGCGGCTGTCTAAATTAGTGGCGCCATCTCGACGCAAGTACATGATGCAAAAATAGATGTGAAAGGAGTTTGTATCCAGTGGGCTGGAAGCCCAACACTAGCTATGGTATCTCATGAGCCTGCAAAAGCCTCCATGTCGGTTAATTCCAAGTACGTAATCCTAGTCGTGTACCTTCCAGATGGCCCATGCTCGACCGCGCATCCCAATTGTTTCGATCATACCAACCGCCTGGTAGCAATCCACCGGTTAATATCTCCATGTTTCCTGGTAGTTCAGCCGGGCAACGCTTATCTCCAGGCCTTACCCCGCTAAACATCCCGTAAAGCTTGATTTGAGCCCCACTTCTCCGACATTGTGGACTAGCGCATAGCGCTACTTGAGGACTGACATCCAAAGATCCGATGGGTACTCACGTCACTCCGTGAAAGCGATACGCTAGAGGTTGTGATATCGGTAGCGAGTTTATCCTAGATCCGTACGTGCTGGATAATTGAGGTGTGCCGCAAATCATCGTGTCGTCATCCATGAGAACGCGATTCAAAATGTCTCTTTCCGTATTAGGGGTTTCTGGTTGGCAAGACGTGAAAAAGTCATAAGAGGGGTCACCAGACAGGACTTCTTCCAAGCAAGATAAGTATATTGATGCAAAGATGGCAAAGATGACTGCGACATCACTTCTTCCACTGCTTTATGCAAGTGGGATCTGCGCCCAATATGTTCCTGTGCCATGGGCATACACACAAGACGAGCCTCCTGTGAAGGTTACCGTTGATGCTACGGTACGACATCAAACCATGATTGGGGGTGGCTGTTCGGGAGCTTTCGGCGTCGCCTGTGATCAGACCGGATCCCAAGGGCTTTCGCCCTCGAACCAACAACTCGTCAGCGATTACCTTTTTAGCGAAAACCTTGGAGGCCTTTCCGTTCTACGCAACCGAGTCGGTTCGAGTCCTACCGATGGTATTCTTGGTAGCTGTCCATCGACGCCTTCAGCACCGGCCAACTATTCAGGCCTAGGAATGAACGATTCCACAGCCGACAGTTGTCAACTCAAACTCACACAGCAAGCTATGAACGCCAATCCGGACCTTTTTATCTACGCCGACGCTTGGTCTGCTCCGGGTTGCTTCAAAACCGATTCCACTGACATCAATGGCGGGCTGATCTGCGGTGTACGCGGAACCAATTGTACGCATGACTGGCGACAGGCATATGCTGACTACCTCGTGGAATACGTCAGGCTGTATGAAGAGAAGGGTATCAATGTTAGCTTGATAGGCGCTTACAACGAGTAAGTATCCCTCCACGAACCGCTCGCAGGACATACATTGACTTCGTACACCTGCATCTAGACCGGATTTTAATCCCGTCACTTACGCTAGCATGGACTCCGACGGATATCAGGCTGCAGACTTCCTGGAGGTACTCTATCCTACCGTCAAGAAGTATCGCAAGGACTTGCAGGTATCTTGCTGCGATGCTACTGGTGCTCGTCAAGAACGGAATCTCCTCTACGAGTTGGACCAAGCTGGTGGCGGTAAGAACTACGATATAGCGACATGGCACAACTACCAAAGCATGCCAGAGCGGCCCTTCAATACGCAAGGTCAGCCCAATATGGAGACGGAGTGGTCAGACGGCAGCGGCTCCTTCAATACGACTTGGGATACGACAGGTCAGCTTGCAGAGGGTTTACAATGGGCCATCTATATGTAAGCAATATATATGAGCCAACGCTAAGGTCAAGTCGATGCTAATCTTGTGAACAGGCACCAAGCCTTTGTCTTTAGTGACACGTCCGGATACCTCCACTGGTGGTGTGCGCAAGACAACCCGGGAAATACCACCGGTAGCGATGCCATTCTCGTTCGCCTGGATGGCGATACTTTTGAGGTCTCTCGCCGTCTCTGGGCTTTCGCCGGCTACTTCCGTTTCGCACGCCCAGGATCGGTTCGCATCGATGCTATCAGTCCCGCAGAGAACCTCAAGGTCACGGCCTTCGAGAACACGAATGGTACGCTGGCTATCCCTGTTATCAACGAGGCGCACTTTGAGAGGCAGGTAGAGGTAAGTATCGGGGGCTGTCAATTAGCTCTGGGTGTTGCGACTGCATATCTAGCAGACAATGAACACAACAATACGCTGGTTGGGACTTATGGAGTCAATGGGTCAACGTTCCTGGCTAGTATTCCGCCGAGGAGTATGACCACTTTTTTCCTGGAGTGAATGTTGTTAGTGGAAGTTTCAACACCTACTCCTTGACTACAGAACATTTCGATTCCATTTGGTGGAACGTATTTTATAGAAATAATCATCCAACGAAGTGTTCAAGTGTATTTCCGGAAGATGGCAATAAGCCTTTTGCTCACGCTCTTATTTACTGTGCTTCGGGAGCTAATCGTACACCAGGATTCACGAGTTATTGTCCCCAGCACAGCCACTCTCAATCACGGCCAGATTGGTCTTCAGATTCTTTCTTTTTGCTTCGAAGTGATTCTAGAGATGTATTCACCGCTGTCAAAGCCCTTCTAGTGACATGCGCGTAATTACAGGCAAAGGACGTGAAACGAGTATCGTATTTGTAGACGTTCAGACCTCTTTGCAAACTGGTAAACTAGATATGCTGTGAACTCTACGCACGCGTGAAAGTAGCTGGAGAAAATGGTTCGTATACCTAGGGTGAATAGAGAGTAGCTATTACGTGGTTGTAGGACTGAACGCGTAACTGACGCGATACAATACCCTGTCTCCCGTGCTCCAAAATCACCATCCATCTCCACCAGTGCGCCTTTCATCGCTCACTGAGGCACTTTACCACCATTCGGCTCTCTCGCTACTGTCTAACCGTTTGCGGGAATTTGTTCGCTTGCGGCATCAGCAACCATACCCCCAACCAACCCTGCCTGCCGCCCGCTCATCAACCTTGACTCTCCGTGCAGTAACCTCAGGACCACACGCCACATAGATGCAGTCAGATACGGCAGAAGCCGCTCATTCAGCGATGACAAGCCTGAATCTTCCTCTGCAACTTCATCCGGAACCTGCACAGATCCCGAATCCAGGACACAGTCAGATGATGGTGCCTATGGGTTTCGCAGCGCAGCTGCGAGCACTACAAGAAATACAGCAAGAGCAGGCAGAGCGTATTTCCAGATTGGAGCAAGAGAACGCGGATCTCAGGAATTTTGAACGAAGCGTTATCGACGTCGCTGATCGCGTCCGAGCACTTGAGCAGCACAAAGCCTATATTGCCGCGAGACGTAGGGAGGCAGTCGGCCAACTTCTCAATATGCGAACCCTACACCAAGAAGCCGACAACGCGTTTCAGCTTCGTACATCAGACATGCAACCAGATGATCTCGAAGGCATATTGGGGGTGTACGGCACCATGTTGACCACCACAATGAACCACCATCAGCGTGTGCTTGCCCAAACGCGTGCAAACGGCCACTTCCCCACGTATGCAACACCGATTCCACAGACTCAGCAGGTGACTGCACCAATGCACTATCGCCACGCGTATGCAGCTGCGTACTCCGAACATGGGTACTGCTATGCCCATAACATGCCTTATCACTGTCGTGTTTGCAGTAAGTGACCGCCGCCCCGTCTCGATCACCAGCTATTGACGACATCTTGTGAATATATCAGGCAACTGGCATACTGACGTTGATGCTCTACGCATCCATCATGGCCCTGAATCGAGGAGCCACTCCTCTTGAGTAATGTATAGCAAAGTGTTGAGTTGGAATGGAAGTCGGCAGGGTTGGCGTACGCGTGGTATGGTTCAGACGTTTCTGCGCGATATTGATTGAACCACTGGTACAGGAGGCTTCGGCTAGTTGATTGTTTCAGCTTCCTATCATGCGTCATTCATTTGGACGCTGGATCACACAGCACGGACAAAAACGAGAAGATAACTGGCCTCTGGAACAGCATTACCAATCTTGTGCACTTGTCTGGCTGTACTTTTTTACCTTCTCAGGTCTGATGGAGTAATGACATAGTCGGTCGATGAAGACACTCGATATCAGCGACAGACTTTTCATGCGTCCAAGATCGAGACTCTTTGCAGGACACGCGCGCAAGAAGGTGGCTGTACACAGGTGTCTAGATATGGTTACCATCAAAACAGATGAGCATAGCAGAATGACGACACGACGCTATCATGTCGCGACGCGCTACGACACGCTCCTGAGGTTCGCTAACACGAATGAGGCTAAGCCTTGCCGGACTTGATTCTGCATGTGCCAGCCTTCCTCGCGTTCTATCCATCGCGACTCCGGAGCCTTCCCATCAGCGGTACTCCGCCGTGATGATCTCCGCTGCCCGCTCTGCGATGCCATAGATGGCTGTCTGGATGTGTGCAGAGATGATCATCGGAATTACGCTCGCGTCCACAACCCGGAGATTCCCCACGCCATAAACTCTCAGTTTTGGGTCAACCACGCCACCGTCTTTCTTCGGCAACATCGCACAAGTACCTAGTGGATGGTAGAATGTAAATACGTTATCCCTGATGTACATCTCCCACTCTGCGTTCGTTTCGGTGTCCATACCAGGGTCGAATTCGGAAACCCAGACGTTCTTGAAAGGAGCAGTCTTAGCCATTCTTCGCGCATACTTTGCTGCTGATATCAAAGCCTCCAGATCATAGGATGTACTTAGATATCTCGGGTTCACTAGGGGCTTGTTCAGAGGGTCAGATCCATTGATGTGTACCGATCCTCTGGCGAATGGGTGCTGGACTCCAGCAAGAAGTGTCACATACTGCTTACCGTAGCCAGTTGTACCGTTCTTTGGATATCCAGTCGTTCCAATATAACCATCGCTGAATACGACCTCGATATCTGGCGCTCCAGATCCATGGCCAGTGAGCAGCTCAAGCTTCTTTCGGTCCACAGGGTTTGACATGTTCGCTGATTGCATCGCCAGTTGGACGAGCTTGCTGTCGTCGCCAAGAGCCTGTTTCCACTTCAGAAAGCCATAACAACTACCAGCGTATTGGTACAAAGATGGCTGGCCACGTTTCCAACGTTCCAACTCAATAGCTGCCAATGTCGTGTTGTATTTCAGAACATCTACCCCAAGTACATCGGGTTTGAGTTCGTATGTTGTTTGGATTCGAAGATGATCCTGTAAGTTTTCGCCAACCCCAGGGAGTTCGATAACTTGCTTGATACCAGCGTCGTTCAACACGGTTCTCTGACCTATTCCGGAAAGTTCCAGTATCTTTGGCGAAAGTAAACTCCCGGCTGCGACAATTACTTCCCTCCTGGCTTTCACTAATGTGCCGTTCATGAGCACGACACCAGTCGCCTTCGACCCTTTCGTGTTGAGCTGCACTCTGTGAACGGTAGTGTTAAACATGAAAGCCAGGTTATCGCCAGCTTCTGGAATATAATCAACTGAGTAGGACCGTGTGTGATTGGACGCGCGATACGTGGCCGGCTGGTACATGACACCAAGGTTGTTGCCATTCAACGATTCAAGGTTCTCTTGCAGTCCAAGACTGGTCAGAGTTGGGATACAAGCTTGGAGTTGGGGCGGTGGATTTTCGGTCAGAGCGACTTGGATTGGGCCGCCATATCCAACACCGTCGACGCCGTACTGTGCGGTGCCATTTTGGCGTTGAAAGTACTGCAGATGCGAAAGTGCGAACTTAGTGAATGTTTCACACACGTTTTGTACGACTACGACTTACCTCGGTTTTCAGCATACTTGGATACATATTCTGCCACCCCCACCCCGGGTTCCCAAGCTCTTCCCACGCATCGTATTCCTTGACAGTGGCACGGTTCCAGACAAGCAGATTCAGGGCCGAGGTGCCTCCTAGGACCTTACCACGGTTGTGACCTATAGTCCGATTGTTTGCTGCAGCCTGTGGCACAGTTGGGAGACTCCAATCATAAGAGGAGCCAAAGGTCGAACCTCTTAACCCGGGTATATAAATTCGTTGCTCGTGGCGTCCATCCGGGCCAGCTTCGATTACCAAAACACAATGACTTGGCAGGGCCTTGCTGAGTCGGGAGGCCAGTGCAAGGCCAGCTGTTCCACCTCCGATGATTATCTTGACAAAGCCTCAGCTTAGTCTTGGGTATGCAATCATGTTTGGGAAAAGACATACGAAGTCGAAGCTGACATCAGGCACCTGACATGGTGTCGCACTGGCCGCAGGTACAAGACCCAGCACAGCTGTGAGAAAAAGATTCAAGATGAGCCGCATGGACGATTTAATTTCAGGATACGAGGAGCGTAGTTGCAATGAGCCTCCTGTGTGGTGGTTGTGTTGAGATAGAAGACCTTAACAACGGAATATGAATGGCTGCTGGGGCATTATTTAGGGCCAAAGATCTGGGGAATACTATGCAGTGCAAACAACTATAGCAGGGCCCACATTACCCACGATTCAAAGGGTCCACCTCTCATACCCATCGAGCCAATGCGGGTCGCCGTGTAGAGGATTCAGCATCGACCGAACACGATAGCCGAGCGAAGCAACGGGAAGTTCTTTGTCGTGCTAAGGTTATCTCTAGAAGGTGCTCGACGTCGGCGTTTTAGATTGCAGGGCATCTTGTACAGCGAGTAATAATGATCTAAGAGGATGATCCTAGTCCTTTTATTGGCCAGCATCACGCATCAGTATAGCCGACGGCACGTATCTGCATATCGCTCATGCAGGTAGGGGTTCTTACCAGCGGAACCAAGGCGCTGACCGGAAAAACTGCCAAAGTACATCCATATTTCATCCTCGCCCCGACAGATTCCCTTGAGTTTCGTGGGTCAACTACGTTGACTATACTCCTCTTGATAGCTTATTCATTGTGCTCATGACACTTCTAGTACAAGCTTCTTTCTTTTGACAATTTTATCTACCAGATGACACCAAATCGCGAACCTATTGTCCTCATGAACACCTGGCAAGCACGGTGAGATCGCGGGTTGGCTAATTTGTGCAGTTCAGTGGGATCCGCAAGCGGGCCAAGCGTGAGTGCTGTGGAGTCGCAGCTGCAAGCGGCACGTAGCGGATTAGCAAGGACAAGCCCTCCGGTTCGACCCAATGCGGCAGAACAAATACTCACCCCGGTCATGGAATGCAGACAAGTATACGCCCGACGAGTTTCTTTACGCGAATGGGCTCATGTTTGTGATACAATGATGTTTCAAAACGGCGTACAAGTCCACGGAGGTCCATCTTCACCACAGTGCCATGGTTCTGTGACATTGAAACACTCAGTCGATGCTTCTAACGTGGCCAATGTACTATTGTGAATTGGACAAACACTCTTATACCATCCTTTCAATTATTACGCAAAAAGTCACCTATCACCAGCCCTACTCGCTGGAGTACCACTACCATCTCACTAACAGGCGTACCCACAACATTCTCAATATCAACAGCCTGTGTATCGATGTCAGACTTGACCCTTCCTCACTCTTCCTCATGTCAATGCTTCTCCATCTCTGGACCCATCGAGCCGAACGAAATTTGCACAGCTTCACCAATCCTAGCATCCTTGTGAGCTTGAACTTATGAGCGGTGATGCTACGTCGCGACAGCTTTGGACGTCCACCATTGGTGGCGGCGCTGTTTTATTGGTTCCGTTCAACAAGGGCGACCTTGGACTTTCGAAGAGCGACGGTGTCGCGCTGCCACTGTCGTAGCCTGCGCAATCCATTTCAGCGCCTAGATTATGTGGAATGCTGGGTGAGGATTGTGGTGGCGTGATGATAGAAGCTGGTGATGGTGCCTGAGATGGCTCGCTGTGACGGCTTTGAACGGTGTCAGACACTGTATCTTGACTGTCAACACTGTTGCGCTCAATGTTATCACCGCGCAGGATATACAGCCACTCTTTCGCGTCGAAGATCTTTCGAACTTCTCGTTTGCCGTCATTCAGTTTCAGTCTCTTCTTGATAGCAATGATCTCTTCTTCAGTGAGAACGACTTCTTCGTCGAGGATGGGCGCAGATTTGCCCAAGAGAAGTTGATCGAGCGTTGACTGCTTCCCGGTTGTCGACTTCTCCCTTGAGCGATGAACCATGTTTTCATAATACGGCATCCAAGATGATTCCGTAGGCGCTCCAACGCCAGACTCTCCGATGTGGCCGGAGTCCTCTTCCCGCGTATGAGCAGTCTTACACGCATCTTTCCTTTTCTGGGTACATAAGTCATAGTGGCGTATTACACTTCGCAAAAGGAACTTAGCATCATGCTTCTTGAATCTCAGCGCACTTCTCTGCCGACGCATACGGTTACGTGGTTTGCTGTTCGGTACATGCAGCTTCAGAGCAGCTGCGAAATGGCTTATAGCGGACTCCCAATCGCCTAAACCAGCACATCCTCGTCCATACCAGTATTTGGAGCGTGCTTGTAAGTCGTAGTTGGATATTGCTTCAGCCAGACGTTGCGCGTACCTGGCACACTTCAGAATATCGCGATAGTGGTTGGGTGTGGATAAATTTGGACAATGAGTCCACGGTTTTGGTTCGACAGCATTAGCTCTAGACTGTAAGACCTCGCAACGCAACAGGTATAGTTGACATTGAACCATTCGCATGCGATTCCTATATCCATCATGCTCTGTCAATTCGGTAGGAATACCGTCAAGGGTGGACTTTTCCGTTGTGCCATCGATGCCAATAACGTCTTCATCTTCTTGAAAAGACAAAATCGATGGTGACGCGCGATCCCAAGGTCGACTTTGCACTTCTGGGAAAGGCAAATCGCTGATGAATGCGCGAACATCCTCAATGAGAGATTCGTTGTGCTGGGGAAGCTCACCAGGAGAGGGACACACGCCCGGCGATAGTATAGCATGTATAGACATTTCGAACTCATCAGTCGGGAGACGAAATTGCAAGACTTCCTGATAATTTGGTGTTGTGACACATTACTGGCGAAGCAGTTTAGATAAGATAAATACGTTATTTGAGTGCGCAGTCACCTGGTCCAACACATGCTAAGACGTCTTTGTTCGTGGTATGCAGCCTTGCGCGACAGAGGGCAATTGCGACAAAGACTGCCGGGATACCCAACGCAATGGTTGAAAACATTCAATGTACGAACAATGAGATGCACCTCACCAAGGGAGCCCTGGTGGTGAAGCTCACCACACGCCTAGCTATTCGTGGCGTCTACCTTGCCTTCTCGTCATGATAGACTAGTACGATTACAGGACGTTACTCTCGGTGAGGTCCGTCGCTCGTTGACTTAACCCAGCGGTAGGGTAAAGACACTCGTCTCGCTTTTGCGGCGGCGCGCTGCCTAAGTTGCGCACTCGTACGTCTGCGTTTATTCTAGGGAAGATCAGCGTGCCGAAAGTCATTTAATCCTAGGGCCCTAAAACCTCTGCATTCTTATCTTCCAGTTGAGCGAGCAAGCCTTCCATAGTGCGACTCTCATCAAAGCCCGACCGACGCTTGGTACAGCGCAGCAGATGCTGGTCATCATCGTAAGACTTTGAAAGCTCGCCGGCTTTAGCAGGAAGTAGTTCGTTGTCACTGATGGTACTGAAGGCTTCTCGGGCTTGGTGCAGTAGACGTAGCTCGTAACATAATAGGCTGCGCTGAAATCGTATCCTAGGTAAGAAGTCCTGGAGTTCGGAGAGACGATCGCATAGATCTACGGCTTCGCTACACGTAGCTAGCGCATCGAGGAGCGCATCGGGTCCTGAAGCGCGTAGGATGTTGCTCTTTAGGAGCAAGCCTTCGGCGCGGGCTTTGCAGCTAAGCGGGCCGCGTAAAAGACGCTCGACCTCGACCAAAGCAGTGCCGTAGTTCCGCTGGGTAATGCACTCCTGCACGCGTTCGAACAAAGGGTTGGTGCAGTCCTCTGAAGACAAACGTAGTTGAAGATGCTCAGTCCTGATTGGTGCATACACTGCAGCTGTACCAAAAGTGAAATTAACTTCAAGATCTTCAACACCATCGAGGGATGTAGGGCGGTGGTTGTCGCGCCCATCAGAAACTACCCGAAGTCGTTGACGTTGAGCGCGCTCGTTCTCTAGTTCAGCTTGCGCGGCAAAACATACGTCCTGTAATTGTTGCAGGCGGTTTGATTGCGTCTCGAAAGCCTCTTTGTATTGGAGCGCCACGGCCTGCCAAGTGTCTCGGTCAACCTTGAGGTCATGGACGATTCGTTCCATGTCGGCAATGCTGTCCATGATGTCGGAGGGTCTCATAGTAATGCACAAATCAATATGCTGTTCTGTGTTTGCAGTGTTGTGTGAGGTGATGGAGTTCTCGATCGATTCTAGGCGATAACATACTTGAGTTGTGTTTGAAGCAAGCGCGACCTGCGAACGGCAGCTGTGGGTGAGAATCCTCGACTCGTGCCTTCCTCATGGTGCAGCTCGCAGCCTATGTGAGCAACAGCATGCAGTGACAGAAGAAAGACTTGCCAATGACATCTGCCAAGAGAAGCAGGTTGTGCATCAAAGGCCACCTCAGATGTTGAAGCCGCCATGCCTCGATGCTTCGACAAACCTCCAAAGGCCAGCTTCTTCAGCGGCTTTCTTGACTGAAGCTACCTCATTCAAGTCTACAGGACGATTGATGTCCGAATACCTTATGTCTTTTTTGGTCGAAGCCGATGCTTCAGCACCGCCTGGCTCAACGACATCTTGACCTGCACGGCCACGCCGCTCCTTACCCACATGGGCTCTCGGGAAATACTGTTCCATAATGTGAACCATGATGTCTTTGCTCACATTGTCCGCAAGCCATCTCATGATCTCCCTACCCTCGTCCTCTTTCCCCGGCATGACCAGGTGGCGCACAAGTACTCCCTTTTTGGCAATACCGTCTGCGGTGAAGCAGAGGTCGCCGACCTGGTCGTGCATAGCCTTGATGCTTTGCATAGCCACCTTTGTGTAGCCGTCGGCCTTGAGCAACTGCCGGCTTGTCTTGTCACTCCAGACCTTAAAGTCGGGAAGGTAAATGTCAACCAGGCCATTCATTAACTGGATGCTCTCCAGCGAATCAAACGATGACGTGTTGTAAATGATGGGTATGTGCAGACCGAGCTCACGCGCGTGCAGGATGGCCAAGCAAACCTGGGGTGCGACATGCTCGGGTGTAACGAGGTTGATGTTGTGTACCCGGCCCACGTCCTGCAGCTTCATGAACCACTCGGCAAGCTCCTCGGGCGTAAGATCGAAACCATTGCGCTGGTGTGCTATGTCGTGGTTCTAGATATAGATTTAGCGCACATATGACCATGGAATAAGAGGCGTTTACCTGGCAGAAGACGCATCTCAGGTTGCACCCAGAGAAAAAAACTGATCCAGAGCCGTTGTGTCCCTGGAAACAGGGCTCCTCTGGTCCACGTTAGCGCGCGCAATCCCGGGCTTCGACAGCTTCGACCTACCGCCAAAATGAGGAGCGATGGTATTCACCTTCACAGTCTCGGCTCCTATCAGGCATACACCCGTCGTCTCATAGCGGTTGACACCGCAAAGCCGAGGACACAGGTTACATTCGCGCAAATGCGCGTACGCCAGGGATCGTTTCTTCGCGGCGTCTACCGAGGACAAAAGTTGGTAACGCGGTATGTAGTCGTCGAGCAGGTATGGCGGCGCGAGGTAGAGGCTTCGTCGGAAAGAGACGTGTTGGACATGAGGGGCGGCGAGTCTGGCCGCACCGCGCTTCAAGGCGGGTCGCAATCTTGAGAAGGATGCCATGCTGGCAAGCTCAAAGCCGTCATCGAGTTGGTGAGATTACAACGCGTACAGTTGGCTGTTGAGTGCGATGCTCAGGCTACATGTGCGATGCCATAACGCTGAGGAATGACGACGGCGTCATTGGCCGAGACCCCAAAGCCGCTGCATCGCTGGACCGCTACGTCACCCCCAACCTCTCCACTTCCCAATGCTTTCACCTTTCCTCTTGAACGTGGTCGGATCCAAACACAAATTCAATGTGTAACACGTAGCCTTATACACGAGCAGCTACTTGCTTCTGGCTTTCTCCTCTTCGTATCACGTTAACATCTTACCAATATCTCACGTATCCAAGGCACTCTATGTAATAGCTCCACAACGAGCCGCTGGTTATCAGAGGCTGGCTACTACTGTGACGATCACACTAGGTCATAATCTTCTTCAGCTGTATATCTTCCGAAGATAGTGGGGCTGGCCCCAGACAAGCTGGTCGGTCCCGAATACTCTGATCCTTTGTCGATAGCACTTTTCAGATCCGATGCTTGTGGGCGCAGGCAATACTCACTTATCATCTTGTGTAGGCATAACACGTGTTTGTACGCGTCGACACAGTTCTTCTTCAGTTTTACAACTTGTGGCATGCTCGGTGGAGCATTGGCTATACATCCTCATCCAAGGATAGCGCCAAAAAAGGGTTATGCTAGTACACAAGCTACACGCATCTTGTTGCGATCGAGAACATGACTTCAAACATATCATTCCAAAGTCACAACTCGACTACAGTCTCAACGCCGCCAAACTTTGAGACACAGCGGTGTGATGAAAGTTCAGGAGTTGTGTCATGAGCACTGACATCCACATCACGCGCTTTTACGTCATCGCATTCCGTTGTTGTTCCTGACATTTGGCTTCAGGTAGCACGGCTTATTTGATACTTCGAGAAGACTGGACGTATCGTGATACCAAACTTCACAGTTGTTCACAACAAGGCAGAGTGTATGCCTAGCCGCTGATGCTCCGCAACATAGTACATGACTTGTTTTATCACAAAACCTGAGTTTACTTGTTGAAATTATGAGCAGAAGCTAATTAATTCGACAAATTATCAAATGAGTCATGCGATTCCTGCAACTACCCGTTTGGTACCTTAGAACTACCTGTACTTTGGCTCTCAATCCTAGCGCACTGTACCGATACGCGAATGACAGCTGCATCACACCTTGTTTTTTTTTTTTGGAAAAAGTTGATTCATCGCTGCATTGTTGAGCACATTGAGCATGTATTTGTGTTACCGGGACTTGTATTGACCCTTGTATCATTGATCATTCGCCGCATCAAAGTTGGTCGTTGTGACGCTGTTCGCTGCTTCCTTGGCTGCAGCGAGTGCAAGTTCCGTTCTGTTTGTAGACATTTGCTTACGTCTTACAAGAACCTAGTCAAGGGCGTCACGACCTTGATGTTGACTTCTGGATCGCCAGGCAAGTGTTACAACGCGAGCCTTGTTGTGCTTCACTGTCAGATATAAGAACACCAACAGTGAAGCATCCATATCTCAGTATCAGCAGCTCCAACTCCAACAAACCAACAGCCTTCATCACTTCTCATATATCCAACATGCGTGTCTCCGCTCTCCTTCTCGTCGTGTTTGGCCTACCAGCTTTTGCGACCCTGCTTGACACGCAATTCCCGCACATGCTTCTGCCTCTCAAGAAGTCTCAGCCAGATACCGCTTTTCCGACCCAGAACAACGCGACCGTCAGCTACGACGTACGTGTTAACAAAAATACACACACACGCAATCGTCTGGATCATACTTACCTCTACCAGGACAGATCCCTTGATGAGCAATGGACAGCCGTCAACTACGATGTCCCCGACAACGCCGCAGATATCTGTCGCCTCCGATTCCTCATCAACACTGACACCTTTAAGAATGCTCCGCTCAGCCTCAAAGGTGAAGCACCTTTCGCCATCAACATCTCACGCATCGAACCCAAGCTTGTCAACGGCGGCACTACCTGGAACAACAAGCCAGCCATAACCGAGCACTACGATACATACGTGCTGTCTATGAACGGCGCAACGGAGGTTGTCAGCAAGTGGTTCTCGTGCCCCAAAGGAAATGTAGCGCAATTCGTAATTCATCCTGCTAGCAAGAGATATTTGGACGTCTACTGGTTCGAGCTAAACTACGGTGCTGAGGATGGAGGCCCACACGGCGTCGTGCTGGAAATGCACATCTGAGCTGCAAGAAACCATATGGCGAATGATTTGATAATTGGTACCAAATTGTAGTTGGAGGAAGGCGAAGGGCGTGTGAATGGAGTTGTCAGTGATGTTTTGGGCTATCCTCAACATAAAAGAACCAACGCGTTCCATAAGCTGCGCTCCTTTTCATACCAATATTTCGTCCCGACCACGATCAAAGGTCACCGCGAGAACGTTCCACCAATATGAAACTTACGTCTATCCATCCTTAGTAGGCTGGCAGTTTGATGTATGCATCTCTTGATAGCCCCGTCCTCAACGTTAACCAGCTCACAGCGAGAGTCCTTAAGCAATCAACCATATCTCAGCTTCCAGTTTTGGATTATTTCTCGTCGCCTGTTTAATGACCGCGGATACAGTCAACTAGCCGAGCGTGTCTGTTTCTGTTGAGTTGGTCATGAGTGTTGAGTAACCGAAGGTGACTGCTGAATAGTATTGCAGCGGCAACGTTGACGCAACGTAACGATGCGTCGTGCATGTGGCTCTAACGCCACTATCAGGCCATAGGTCTTGGGTGCTCTGTTTCTTCCTCAAGTCATCTGTCATCTTCATCTCTTGCCAGTGCGTCAACAATCCTCCCTAAAGCTCTCTCCATCAACCCAGCTCTCCCTGTTCTTTGCACAACACCAGTAAGCTCAACCTTTGTGGCTACAGTGGGCTTGAGGTCTATGAAGAGAGCATTTCGATGCGTGAGATCTGTTTCTTCGAAAACTTCGATGCCTTGTTCGTCGAGCGTCTTGATGACAACGATGCCAGGCGGGTAACGATGAGGGTAGGCGGGTGTGAGAGTGTGGAGTTCGATAGCGCTGTCCGTCATGGGGCATGCTTCGGAGGGTTTGGACGGTCTGGAATCTGTTGGGCGGATTCCATGACAGGTGCTAGGCTCAGTATGGATGGTATCTAAGGAGGTTTGCATGGTAGAGGTTGAGTAGGTTGATGACGCGTATGCTGAGGTAGTGTATGGCGATTTTTGTTGCAAATTTGGTGTTGTTTGTGTCTCTTTATCAGCATATACGTGTCTTCGAGGCGCTCCTCTGACCCTTTGTAATGGTTTGGGTGCTGTGCGATTCTCGCTGGGTATCCCCGTGCGGCTGAAGGTTTGATCGTCATCAGATGTGACGAAAGCATAGTCGCTTCTGGAATCTTCTTCTTCGCTTATCTGATGGTAAACGTATTCATGATTGCCGTATAGATGTCGAAGTGATAGGTCCATACCCGCGCAGTGCGAAGAAGAAATGCGAAAGACCGACACCAGTACATGAGCGTACAAGGGGTCGCTATTCCTGAACTCATATATCCCTCAAACGCGGCATTGAGGAATCCTTCGACAATACCCAGGTAGTGTTGTGTTGTAGAGAAATACCGCACGCTAATCCCAAATAGTTGCTACCTCCAAGATACCATATGAGGAGTAGCAGTATGTGGCGTTCGGCAACAAATAATCTTTGAGCCAATAAGGACATTGACCTTCTTATTTACCAGAAAACATATGGCTGTGAGTACTGGCCATATGCATTGGCTTTATGTCCCGGGTTTGTAGCTTGGATGGTGTTCTTTGGCTTTTTGCAAAAAGCTTGGAATGTCTTTTTTGCCAATCCCTTCAATTTCTTGGAGATCGCTCGTTCGAAATCGCCGCGCTTGGGGTCTGATTTATCTACTGTATTGGCGTGTTTCTCTTCAATACGCTGGATGTACGTATCGTCACTCTCTTTGGTGGGTGGTTGGCGAGATGTGCGGCTAGAGATCCTTTCGGAGCTTTGAAGCCCAATCGTGATGTCGTTACGGCGGCTTTCGGTTATGCGAGAATATGCGTTTCCTTGAACAGGGAAGGGATATGCGAAGTATCTCATAGCTGTTGTTGTTGCTGTCGTCGTCGTCGTCGTCGTCGTCGTCGTCGTTGTGGGTACGGTGTCTTGTGAGAAAATGTGTCTTTGGCAAGATACCTATATAGTCTGACTTTGTTCTCGTTGAACGCTCATGTTAGATGTGAATAGAGAGAGACAGTGCGCGATGACAACGTTCCCGATTTTTGTACTCAGAACCTTTGGATGCTGTATAGGCCTTTGATGGTCAATTCGCGTAAGCGAACCGGCTGTACCATGTTTTATCGACCACTTCATCACTGGTGTTGAAATGGTACTGAGCAGACGAGCCACTCATAATTCCGATAGAGCATACTATATCTAAGACAGAAACTGTCCACGAACCAGAAGTACTGTAAACATAGCGGGTTCGCTGTACCATGGTAGCTGGACGGCGCCAATCTCGCAGGATACAATACACTAGGTTGTAATGGGGAACAAAGCAATGCGGTAGCATTACATGCGCTAAAGCCTTCTTCACTCTGAAAACGACGGTTGAATTACAGAACCATAATTATAGCTATGTTTATGCATTTTTTTCTTGGTCTGTCATGATTCATGTGATCAAAGACTGGCCAGGTGAGGATCTAACCCGAATGTGGAAATATTTGCTAGCGCGTTCATCTACCACGAGCATTTGTAATGTTGGACGCACATATGAACACCGCAAACGGGTATAAATTGCAGCACGAGGGAGCTGAGATACATGAGAACATATCCACTCGGTCCTACCTCCTTGATCATCACTTGTTGCTCTTTGTGCTTCGCGCAGCGTCAACTCTTAATATTATCTTACGATGTCTACACACTCTGCAGTTGCGACAGTAGCCAAGAAAGCACGTCTTGGCATAATCCAAGTTCCTACTGCTACTCCAGTAGAGCAGCAAGTCCGTGTCCGTGTCGAGTGGACAGCTTCTACGCCCTTGGACCTTCATCAGAACGATGGCGCTTTGCTCGTGAAGCATCCCCAAGTTCTTGGTGACAGTGTAGCTGGTACAGTAGTCGAATTGGGGCCAGATGCTAAGAGACTACAAGTTGGGGATAAGGTCTTCGGCTTCACCTGGAGGACTCAAGTAGAAAAGGCTCATCAAGAATTCTGCACAACAGACGAATGGCTCTTGGCGAAGGTAGATAGTGTTGAGTCTCCCGGTTGATTAGGCTGATGCTGACATATTGTAGTTACCAGACGGTTTCACTCTGGCCGAAGCTGTAACGTTACCCAACAACTTCGTGACAGTATTCCATTCCTTCACAGCCGATCTGGCTCTCGAAATGCCCTGGCCAAAGAACGAGTCTTATGTGCCAGGTAATGTTGATGTACCGATATTAATCTGGGGTGGCTCCTCGTCCGTCGGCCAGTTCGCCATCCAGATTTTGCACTACTACGGCTATAGGAACATCCTGACAACGGCGTCTCGAAAGCACCACGAGAAACTACGCAACCTTGGTGCAACCCAAGTATTCGATTACAATAGTGCAGATGTTGTTGCATGCATTTCAAACGCTGGTGGTGACGAGGGCATTCCTTTGATTTATGACTGCATCGGCAGCCAGAGCGGTAGCATCGCACCAATCGCCAAGATCGCGAAACCTAGATCGAAGGTTGCAATACTGCTACCGGTGATATTGCGCGATTCAACCGAGACGCAGGATCCAGAATATGAGATGGATGTGGGCAAAGTGGCAGAGTGGAGCGATGGTGTCGACGTCAGGGGCGTGCGAACGCACTTCTACCTAAACGTGAGTATAGTTGGTCCGTTGCTCAGGAGCGCACTGCTAACAGCACACAGAATGAGTACTTCAAGCACCATCTTCAGCCCGACATCATGCCCGCTATGTTGAAGGCCGGTGTCGTGACACCACAGAAGCAAAGGATGATAGATGGTGCGACACTGCTGGAGAGAGCACAAAATGCGATGGACATGCTGAGACGTAAAGACGTGAGTATGGAACGCCTTGTGTGGCGCGTCAGTGAGACGTAATCACAGGCGTGATATCGACACTGGCCGCATATGTCGTGATCCTGCAGGTCAAAATTAGAGGTGTAGAAGTGGAGAAGGTAAAAAAGACTCGGGACGCTGAGCACTTGCGCGTGCCCCACCGAAGCGATGCGCTGAGGCGCTTAGCACACTGCAGGCATGAACACCAGCCATGACCGTCCGTAACTGTAGCGAACCAATCCTCTGTTCATTGAACATCATGACATTTGAAACTATAACACGACGAGCCGCCTACCGGCTATAGTACCTTGAACAGTAGCAGGCCGCATTGTCACGAGCTTTTTGACTGCATCTATCCCACACCCATCACTCTTCCTTGATCACACCTCTTGGCCTCGCCTTGATCACCATACTCAGGTCGCATACAGGCAGGTCCGGCACCGGCAACTCCATGATCGCAATAATCAGAGCCAGCAAGAAGTAGAAGCCTAGTACGCTAGCCGCAAAGAAGCAAGCACCTGTACCCGTAGCCAACCTCGTTCCAACCACAGCATTTCCATTGGAAAGGTTGAAGAAGGCCCCAGCGCCGAGACCAAACCCGATTGTCGCAAACATAAAAATTAGGACAAACACGACGTTGACGCGTAACGAGCCGAGGAGGAATATGAAGGATAGAATGCACATGACGATGAGGTAGAACGCTGTTGGGTGCCAGATCAGTTTCACACACCGCCTTGGAAACCTGCGCTCACTTACCATAACTTGCTAGAAATACTGATGTCTGGTTCGACGTGCCAGGACTGCCAGTGCCGCTTCCATCCGGGTTGAAGTATCCAATCGAGTTGAAAGCGGGAACGAATGTTGTTGCGTAAGCAAAGAAATGCGCACCATATCCGAGGAATACCATCATTGGGAATGTGTTCCCAAGTAGGAACTCTCCAATACCTGCGAGGATAAGGAGCATACCGCCGAAAAATATGTTCACTGTCCCAGTCGCGACGCTGAGACCGCCCGAGCCCTGCCAGCCCACTACGGTTGTTGTCAGACACATGGAAGCAAGACGCGAGGGTGTTGAGATGATAGTAGACGTACTGAAGGCACACGCAAGTGGCATAACGGCAATCGAGAAGCCCAACACACCCACTGGCGTTGGGTTTCCAAACCGTGAACGAAGGTCCCCCGATACTCGCGTCTTCGGGTTTAGAAACAAGCGCTCATAGAGTTCTGGAGTGAGCGTAACCGTCTTGGCAAGCTCATAACGCAGCTTCTCTTCGGAATCATAATGCGCATCTTGATGTCGGTTCACGGTAGTTGAAGAGTAGTCGTGACTGGTCATCGTAAAGAGCACTGTGGATGTTTGTAGCGATGAGGAATGAGATTGCGCACATCGTATAGCGACAGCTCTTGCTCAGTATTTAATCAACCCAACAAGTTGGAGTTGCATATGGTATAGCCGCGGCTAACGTGTCTCGTGAGTTGAATGCCGGGTTGATTCCGTCTTCGATACATGTCTCTGTCGACTCCGCATTCAATCGAGACCACGGTATCGCGACATTCCCGTTCTCCGGCCACTAGCGTGATGCTATCAATGAACGTTTGATAGTAGAACTAAGAGGTTTGACAGAGTCTATGTGCTGGTCATGAGTAGCAACATACATGTGTTTTTCATGTGTACATAGGCATGACCACTTCCTTGGTCACCACTGTGTTCCCAAAAGGATCCTCCAAACAATACCCCATGAAGAGCTTATGTCCCTGTGACTGGAAATCTAGATCTCTCGTGATAGACTAGTACTAAAGACGGAAGCGACTTCAGCTGCATGGTTGATCGCTAGGCGGCTTACATTCCGATGGGACTTGATGGTGTAAACATGGGCTTGAGGCTATTATAGGGTACAGTTAAGCTTCCTTAGCATCGTTTTTCCCCGCATCTCTCAAGAAACTACCCGTAGACAAGCGCTTGCACATCTTCAACAAGTACTGTAGTTGGCAAACAGAGCCGTCGGCCGGATGCAGAGGGGCAGCATCCGGTTGGATGGTACAGAAGCGGCAGCCTAGTAGATGTCATGGCAGCCATCGAGCCTTCCCTTGAACAAAGCTGCGCGTTCTTTAACCACTCTCCACATTTGTCGCATCGGCTGAAGATGAGTTCAGCGTTCTTGTTCAACTGTGTGGCGAAGCAACCTCGGAGATGAACGCGTTGTGTTGACGAAGGATGGCGTTGACTCAGCATCGTCACATGCGAGATTGAGCGACCCCACCAATCTCCGATGGGCTAGAGCTGGTTGGTGACCCCTTCCGATCCAGCTCACTGCAACTTCTGCAGCCCTCATCAACCGCAAAGAGGATATCTTCAACGCCTCATATGGCGCTTGATGCATCGCCAAAAAGGTAGCGCGCGGTACTGCTGTGTATGACGCAGTTGAAGCTCCTGCAATACGGCCAACCAGGTTGGTGGGGACACGCCACAATCTCGTTTCCGTTCCTTGCATTAAGCCTCGGGACACCTGAAACCCACCGCACGTTCGCGACCGTTTCAACCCGGGATCATGGGCGCTTCAACCAGGTAAGCCGGCTCGTCTATACTGCTGTCTCGAGCTAGACAACTACGAGAACCGGATGGTGTCCTGTCAACAGGCATGGTGGCCGCTGTCGCGGGAACATGTTTGCTTGGCCCGCAGTATCGAACAGCACCCTGCCATCTTAGCTGCGCTCAGGCTTCTTATGACTGGTGGAGTAACGATTCAAGCATGACAAGAAGACCCACGCCACGTCTGGCATCTCAGGAACAGGCAGGGCATCGGAGTCGTTTTGAATCGGGGGCACAGTCAAGCGTTGTTCGAGGCTGCAATCCATCGGGGACTTGTTTCGCATGTTTAATGACACGGCCCACAGATTGAGTTGTGAAGAGGAATAGTGCCATGTTGTCGTATTGTATATAGCTCTCTTGGTACTCTCGGTTTCCTTCCCATCAAACAACAGTTTCTTCACTTCCAACTACAGCTTCTTTGTGCATCTTAGGTCTGAGACCTCACATTCGTTCTTTCAACACACACTCATTCATTACACTCGTTCACAGAAGCCAGGCTTCAGTCAATCTTTACAGCAACTCTCACTCTTCTCAACCAACCCATCAACCATCACAATGAAGTCCTACACCGTCGCCGCCGCCATTGCCGGCTTTGCCTCTTCCGTCGCAGCCCACGGCTTCATCAGCGAGCCTGCTCCCCGTATGCCCGGCGATGGCCTCAAGGCTGCCTGTGGTGACCAGGTCTACAACACCCAGTCCTCGGACCACTACGGAAACGTTCAGGGTGCTCTCCAGAACCTCCAGGGTGACCACCCTGACTGCCGCATGTGGCAGTGCAAGGGTGTTCCCTTCTCTGACGCTGGTGAGATCTTCGAGTACACCGCTGGTCAGGTCATCCCCATGAAGGTCGAAATCCGCGCGCCCCACGACGGTGTTGCCAACGTTTCCATCGTCAACATCGCCACCGACAAAGTCATCGGCAAGCCCCTCATCAGCTGGGACGAGTATGCCCTTACCTCCTCTCCCATGTCTCAGCACCCTGACTGGACCTCTTTCGACATCACCATGCCCGATGTCAGCACCGAGTGCGCCAACAAGGGTGACTGTGTCATTCAGTGGTTCTGGGACGCTCCCTCAATCGACCAGACCTACGAGTCCTGCATCGACTTCACCATGGGCGGTGGCTCCGGTTCTGGCAGCGGATCGTCTCCCGCTCCCTCAGCTTCTGCTAAGCCCAGCGCTTCTGCTTCCCCCGTCGCTTCTTCCGCTCCTGCTGCCAGTTCTGCTGCCCCCTCCAGCACGGTTCCTGAGGCTACCCCTACCCCTACTGCCGCTGAGGAGGCCGCCACCCCTGTGGCCACTGGTGGTTCCGACTCTGGCTCCGACTCCAGCCTCCCTGAGTCTTTCACCATCGACACCTTCATCACCTGGCTCCGCGCCAACGCCGGCACTGGTGTCGCTGACAAGGTCCGCCGCATGGTAGCCGCTCAGCGCGCCCACCCCCGTGCTTTCCGCGTCTAGATGATCTTGACATATGATCTGTAAGACAAGTACGATAGACAAAATTCCTGTATTGGGCGAGAAGATGGTTAGAGTTACTGTTCGATTCTGTTGTAAATATACAATTCAATGATGCACATTATTTGCTCGCTTGAGCGAGGCTGTAAAATCTTCAATTGCGCCTTGCCTGTAATGTCCTCGGGTAATACATAGCCACTAACTTCGTGATTTTATTCAATGTGATTGAATTGATGTCTTCTGCTTCCACAATGTGGGTTATTACCGGTTGTCGTCCACGATATGTATTCGGACGATCTCATCGACCAAATATGGTTGGGAAGCTGCTTGAGACCGGAATAGTTGCATAGGACAAGAAATAATTCTCGCGTGTGCAAGCTTGTCTGGCTTTTCGATGTGTTTTGGTCGCTAAATTTGCTGAGTCCATTCCGGGTGTGGTATTGGAACCATATTGACGTGCTTGTTCTGTCAGTCACGATGATGAAAGACCGAGAGATATGGAAGCTGTAAAGCGGGCGGCTTTGCGCTCATATTAATGACGTCATCGACGCCGAACGACGCGTCCCGTTCGAATTTACTTAGAGACCAGCGAAACCATGGGTACCATATATGGGGTCCATTACAATACATGCTAACAATAAGTTACAACATAAGAATAGAGCTTCCACGCCCCCACGGATGATGTCCGCTCCATCATCATCCACACGACTATTCAACGCCGCTGAAGCGCCGCTGACTCCATCATCAGATGAACATCGACTGAGAATCGCATTCATACAGAAAAACAACCACTATTATATACCACATCAACGTATACCTAACAACAAACGATCGATACAAGTGACCACACTATCCAGGTGGTCAACGTACTGTGGTACAAGAAAAACAGGGAAGCACGTTAGAAATTCAGATGCACTTTCTAGCGTTTGCGAATACTGGGATGTATGGCTGCTAGGTCCAATGGCAGTACTTGCTCCTAAGCCTTAAGACTGATTCTGGCGGTGGCTTGGAGCATTCGTCATTTTTTGCACATCGTCTTGGTGCTGCCAGAAACTAAAGACGTCCTCCCCCGCAGCATCGCCCACGGCGTATGTCGGTGAAAGCTCCATGTCGGCGAGACATACGCCCATCTCAGGATGTTGTGCGAAAAGATTTGCATTGCTGAGTGCGTCTTCTGTGGAAAATGGTTGCACATTATGCTGCCAGTGCTCGATCCCCGGAAACTCTGAAATACCGGTTTGGTCGGCGTATGCGAAATTGCTGGGCGGAGCTAAACCTGGGGATATACCATGATTCCAAGGACGGAGGCATGAGGTCATGTTCATGTTTGTTGGCTTCGTATCGTCAGGGCTGACCGACACTATGGAGCGATTCAGTGGCTGCGATGGGGGCAGGACGGGCGATTGCTGTCCTGGCGAGACAGAAAGTCTTCGCGAGATGTGCTGGGAGTGATAGTTATATGGCTGCACCCGCAGTGGTGGTGTGGACGGCAACGCCGCAGATGTGTTGTGGGCATGGAGGGATCGAGGTGAGGGATGCATCGACGGTGCCTGAGGTGCCAGAAAAGTAGGTGGGGGGCTCAATGCAACGCGATGCATCGTCTGCGAGGTCAAGTACGGAAGTCCTGATGATTCGAAAGCCTGTTGTGGCGTGGTATCACGAGACAATTGCGTCTCAGAGGCTGCTGACGAGTGATTTCGCGTATGTCTCCTCCGTGAAGCAGCGACGGTCCGGGACCTCTTCGATGCCCGGAGGTGATCTCCCACTACACAGCTACCCTTGGCGTTCGGCCTCTTGCTGTTGCCCACCCGGTTCTGGTCCTTGCGCTTAGAGTATGCCTTGGGCGCGTTGACAAACATGCGGATTTGCCAAGCTGAGCACATGACGTTCTCGCAAATCGTCTTCTCTAGCCGGAGAGCTTCGACGATATTATCCAAACGGCCGGCGCAGTTGGTGTCCTTGTCTTCGTCCTCACCCTTGCGTTCGTCGTTAACGTAGTCATTCTGCTGCCACCCGCGGAAGCCCATCTTCACCTGCTCGATTAAACAATCGAACACCTTGTGGGCGTAAGCTTCTACTAAATCCGACTGGTAGTGTGGTTCTTCAACCCATCTCTTGAGTGCGGTGGATCCAGCATTATCTCTGGCGTAATCTCCGCAGATCATGGCGTTGTAGATGCGCTCTACGTTAATGTTACGATTGCGCTCGACATGCTCGATGGTTGGATCGTTAGCAGGTTCTCTCCACGGTTCACGGTTGAACCGCATTTTCTTACGACGGTATTCCTTCGCTTCCTCGGAATTTTGGAAGTAACCACGGAATGGCCCATAATGCTGACCTGCCGCCTGCGGTGGTGCGCTGCTGTTCCTGGACAATGGCATAGGTACGAGCGAGGGAACTTCTGCGGAACTAGACCGGTGGTGCATTGAATATGCAGAAGGGGAATCTTTTGTTCTGACTTCGCCTTTTCGATAGTTTGGGCTCGTCATTTCAACATAGTTCTCGACGCCACGTTGAAGCCGGAGGTTATTATCGCTGTAAATGTTGCCCGTTGTCTGCATCGAAGCACATGGATCATACGACTTAAAATCTTCCGCACCGAATCCGATGTTCGGCGTGTGAGATTGGCTGAGGTCGTTTGCAGTCCCGTAATGCTGGCCGCAAGACTCACGGTAGCCATGCGAGGATTCCAGGTTTCTGGGACTGTCCTCGAAGTAGCTGCGATTGTTGTCTGTATTTGATGGGATATAGGAGTGTCGCTCGGCAAACATATCACCAGGATCGTGCTCGATTTGACGAAGTGATGGCTTCGCCTGTCGCGGAGGTTCCTTCATGTGATCGCTGATGCTTCGTGTAGGGCTGATATGGTACTTGTCTTATAAGATTTGAAGATTGGGGGAAGAGAGGGAGTATTGGTGCTAATATGTAGAGGAGTTTGATTTGAGAATGTGAAGAAGGGCTGAAGATATAGAGTAATCGTATCAAGTGCCTACACCTATCGTGAAGAGCGATGTCTCATATGTTCGACGAACGCCCATGACAACCGTTGCGTCGGCCCGTCGCTCAAGATACTCATTGATTATAATGGCACTCACAGTGTCTTGTGATCAGTCTGCGTTGGGAGCTCGTGGGGTCACTGAGGCTATGGAATGCGTTCGCGACTGCAGCCTGCAAACCCCCACAACGTTTGTTGCATGTACCATGTGCGGCTCAACTACGTGTTTGAACATCAGCTCCTCCTGGCAGCGCATTACACACGTGTTGCGGGCCGCGATTTGCGACAGCGATGTCGCTTTCCAGACTTGGTAACAGGACACTCATGATTCGCTGCCATCTACCCATCATGTGTTTATCCTGTACTTCTCAGTATCTGCGAGGTGAGTGGGATTATGCAGCTGCAATTTTCACTTTTCCATAGCTTCTAGACGTCATGGAATTATTTCCAGGCTTCTACAGGCTTGGAGGTGGCTTGGGATGGCTGTACATTCGTAACCAACATGTTGCCTTACATGCTACGCTGGCAATCATCTGTTACAAGTTCACGGGAACATGTCGCAAGAGCTCACTAGCAATTCAAAGGCATAGGAGAAGCTTGGAGATCGCATGCAAGAGAAAAGCATTTGGTTTGGGGAAATTGATGATTGGACTTGAAATGCGCCGTGCTTCAAAAGGTCTCATTGATATGGCCAAGTTATCCCGTCGTCACTCGTGTGATTCGGCCTTAGCTTCGAAACACATCGAGACACCTTCAAGTCATGCGTGTATCGTCAACGGTATGTGCATGTTCTTACATCATACCTGGGTAGTGAAGGTCATCTGTATCTCTCCTAGTCTCTCAGTGCAAATTCAACAGGCATTACACACCTCTATGAATGTGTATCAAGAGCGAAAGCCATATGTCTAAAATGAATCCTGGTTTCAAGATGGGTCTGCTCCTCGTTATCATCTAGCGTTCCAAACCGACCGAACTTATTCGGCGCACTGGGCTTACTCATGTTCCTGTGAATCTCTGCCATCTTTGCCTCCCAACTTGGTGGCGTCAGGCCTCATTATGTAAGAAAATCAGTATTAAACACAGATGCTCATACATCAAAGTATATCACCATCGGGTTGTTCTGTCTCATTAATATCACTAACATTCAGGTTCTTTCGGATAGGTCCTCGTTCATTCATCAAGTCCAGAAGTTGTACAATAATCAGTTTTTCAAACCGACGCAGTTCAATCCGGCCTACCCCTAGAAGCCAAGGATCTTGAACCACCAAACCGATATTCCATTGACGTTATCGCATCATGACTTCATTTCTGAGAAGACTGTGCTTCTTGTTGACTGTGACAGACGCCGAGTTGGACGTGAATTTCGTTTGGGTACCCGCGCTGATGTTGCTACGACGCTTCCAGTATGGTTATATCTCGAAGTTGATAACCCAGAAATCGTTCTTGCCATCTATTCCATCAGAGTCTCTCATTGTTAGGACGGCCTCGTCGCTCTGAGGGCCGAGACTGCGTTCTGGCCGAAGCATTTTCTCTTTCGCTGTATTGAAGTAAGGAAAAGGTTAGCCTTATTCGCGAATTGTCGGTAAGTTAATACTTAGGTATTCGTTGAGCAATTCAACGGTGTTACTATGTAAGTAGAACACCCCATAATAGCAGCGTATTCTACGAGATTTATCCCTTGAGGATGACTATCAGCCAGGAGCGGTAGTGATAGAACAGAGGGCTAGAAGGCGATGCGGGGCCGACGGATTGAAGAAAAGTGGCAAGCGGTGATGACATTGCACAACATTCGCACATCAGTGGCCCGGAGACTTGTTTCTGTATCGAATTGTGTATGTGGCAGGTTCAGCAAGCCGCTGAAGGCGTTAGCAGCACCAGAGAATGGCACAACAATGGTTCCGCGCTCTTGTTCCGCACTTTTAGTGGCCTAATTCCGCTGTCCCCAACGAACGGTGCGACTTCCCCGCATGAGCCGGCCACGCTTCACGTAAAGTCTGGGGAGCCCGCC